TAGAGGGCAAATACCTCAACATAATAAAGGCCGTATATGACAGACCCACAGCCAACATCATACTTAACAGTGAGAAGCTGAAAGCTTTTCCTTTAAGATCGGGAATAAGACAGGGATGCCCACTCTCCCCACTGTTATTCAGCATAGTCCTGGAAGTCCTAGCCTAGGCAATCAGACAAAACAAAGAAATGCAAGGCATCCAGATTGGTAAAGAAGAAGTGAGACTGTCACTGTCTGCAGATGACATGATATTGTACATAAAAAACCCTCAAGACTCCAGTCCAAAAGTACTAGAACTAATATCTGAATTCAGCAAAGTTGCAGGATACAAAATTAATACACAGAAATCAGGAAAACAATTCCATTCACAATTGCATCTAAAAGAAAAAAGTACCTAGTAATAAACCTAACCATGGTGGTGAAAGACCTATACTCTGAAAACTACAAGACACTCTTAAGAGAAATTAAAGAGGACACTAACAAATGGAAACTCATTCCATGCTCTTGGCTAGGAAGAATTAATACTGTCAAAATGGCCATCCTGCCTAAAGCAATCTACAGATTCAATGCAATGCCTATAAAAATACCAACAGCGTTCTTCAACGAGCTGTAACAAATCGTCTTAAAATTCATATGGACCCACAAAAGACCCCGAATAGCCAAAGCAATCCTGGGAAGGAAGAAGAAAGCAGGGGGGATCTCGCCTCCCAACTTCAAGCTCTACTACAAAACCACAGTAATCAAGACAATTTTTACTGGCACAAGAACAGAACCACAGACCAGTGGAACAGAATAGAGACTTGAGATATTAACCCAAACATGTATGTTCAATTAATATATGATGAAAGAGCCATGGACATACAATGGAGAAATGACAACCTCTTCAACAGCTGGTGCTGGCATAACTGGACAGCTACATGTAAGAGAATGAAACTGGATCATTGTCTAACCCTATACACAAAAGTAAATTCGAAATGGATCAAAGACCTGAATGTAAGTCATGAAACCGTAAAACTCTTGGAAAAAAAACATAGGCAAAAATGTCTTCGACATAAACATGAGCGACTTCTTCATGAACATATGTCCCCAGGCAAGGGAAACAAAAGCAAAAATGTACAAGTGGGACTATATCAAGCTGAAAAGCTTCTGTACAGCAAAGGACACCATCAGCTGAACAAAAAGGCATCCTACAGTATGAGAGAATATATTCATAAATGATGGATCTGATAAAGGGTTGACATCCAAACTACATAAAGAGCTCACGTACCTCAACAAACAAAAGCAAATAATCCAATTAAAAAATGGGCAGAGGAGCTGAAGACAGTTCTCCAAAGACGAAATTCAGATGGCCAGCAGACACATGAAAAGATGTTCCACATCGCTAGTTATCAGAGAACTGCAAATTAAAACCACAATGAGATATCACCTCACACCAGTAAGGATTGCCACCATCCAACAGACAAACAACAACAAATGTTGGCAAAGTTGTGGAGAAAGGGGAACCATCCTACACTGCTGGTGGGAATGTAAACTAGTGTAACCATTGTGGAAAGCAGTATGGCCATTCCTCAAAAAACTCAAAATAGAAATACCATTTGACCCAGGAATTCCACTCCTAGGAATTTACCCTAAGAATGCAGCAGCCCAATTTGAAAAAGACATGTGCACTGTTATGTTTATTGCAGCACTGTTTACAATAGCCAAGAAATGGAAGCAACCTGAGTGTCCATCAGTAGATGAATGGATAAAGAAGATGTGATACATATACACAGTGGAATAATATTCGTCATAAGAAGAAAAAAATCCTACCATTTGCAACAACATGGATGGAGCTAGAGGGTATTATGCTCAGTGAAATAATCTGGTCGGAGAAAGAAAGACAAGTATCAAATGATTTCACTCATCTGTGGAGTATAAGAACAAGAAAAAACTGAAGGAGCAAAACAGCAACAGACTCACAGAACCCAAGAATGGACTAACAGTTACCAAAGGGAAAGGGTCTGGGGAGGATGGATGGGAAGGGAGGGATAAGGGTGGGGGAAAGAAAGGGGCATTATGATTAGCATGTATAATGTGGGGGGTGGGCACTGGGACGGCTGTACAACACACAGAAGACCTGTAGTGATTCTACAACATCTTACTATGCTGATGGACAGTGACTGCAATGGGCTATGTGGGGGGAACTTGGTGATGGGGGGAGTGTAGTAAACATTATATTCCTCATGTAAGTGTAGATTAATGATACCAAAAAAAAAAAAGACACAATCATAGCTCTGAAGAAGCTCACAGTAAAATAAAAATGATTGACTTGCAAATAAATAGCTATACTGTAGTGTGATTAATGGAAGGAGAGGGAAATTTTGGGAGAGTTGGCAATTTCTATAGGAGAGGGATTGCCTGAGCTGAGTTTTAAAAGTTGTCTATTCTTAAGCCATCAAACTGATGAATGAGAACATTGAAGTCTGGGAAGCAGCACATGAATAGATGATGTGAAATAACTTGGTAAATTAAGACTTTTTTATGTGAGGGAACCATGGCAGCAGATGAGTCCACAGAAGTAGGCTTTAAGAGCGGTTTTTTCATTATGTGGTAGTTATATTAAATAGTTGTAAACATAAATTCTGTGTTTTACACAGAGAATTCTTGTGTGTAGAATAGATTGAGGTAAGAGTAGGGTGTGTTATAGTAGTAAGTCAGGTGAGTGACAAAACCTGAATTAGTGGTAGAATTGGAGAATAGAAAACAGATCTGAGCATAAATGAAGGAGTAACAGCTGTAAAATCTGGTGCTAGCATGAAAGGGCTCAGGGAGAGGAAGTAGATGTGCATGACTTACAGATACTGTTTTTGTTGACCATGGTCTATGGTTCTATCAGCTTTTAAAAAAGGGAAGACTGGAACAAGAAGAGCAGGTGTTGGATGTTTGAGAAGAAACAAGTGGGACAAGAGAATAGAAAGAACCAAGATAAGTTTTAGGTGTAACTTGAGGGCCCTTCACATACCTTTTAGGTGACCTACTGAGGTCAGGTATAATATTGTCCCTCAACATGGCATTTTCTGCCAGCATCAGAGACAGAATAATGAGTGTATGTTTTAGGTTTTTTTTTTTTGGTGAGGGTGGTGGTACTAAAATGGAGTCAGAAGAAAGCCACAAAACCTGTAAGTTACGGTCTTCATGCAGCTCAGGTTTTCTAATTTAGAAGAATAACCTGGAAATAAATTTGATTGTTTCCTGGTAAGTTTTCCAAAATCTTTAAATTTTTCTTATGTATTTCCTTTTGACATATATATTGGGGTTTTTAACTTCTTAGTGTTTTTCTTAGACATAAGTAAACTGTTGATGGTACCTGCCTAAAAGTGTTTCAGTAGCAGTTTGTTAATAGTCTTCATTATATGCTACACTTCATAAACAGTTCCTGTTTATATTCAGTGAGTGTTAGTGGATTGATAGTTTTTTAACTGAAGGAGAACCACTAGATATGCTTAAAAATTATAATATAAAATAAATGCAAATTGGAAGTTAGGAAGATCTTAAATCTAAGATTCTGAAATACTGAAGTGTGTTACTTCTAGAGGTTAATCACACACACACACATAACTTTTTTTTTTATGAAAAGCTTGCTTCTCTGGGATGTTTAAAGATAATGCTGCTCAGAGGCACTAGAGTTGAATCTTAAATCTTTCATATAGTAGTTTGGCAGTTCCTTTATGCTCAAGGTTGTCAGGTAACACAAACTCCTAACTTGCTTTAGCTGTAATATTAGTAAGGTAGAAATACTGTTGAATCATGGTTTCCTGCCTTTTCAAGAATGGTTGTCCAATCATTGTGGACTCCTATGTGAGCGGTCTTAACTTTTAACATCTGAGAAAATATGCAGGTCAAAGACTTTTGAATTCTGCAACTGCTTAGAATAAACTTTCTTTTATTTTAAATGTATTTAAATATAATGTTTATCTGTGTTATCTTTGAAAAGGAATTCAGATAATCCAGAGTACCATGTGGATTTTCAAACTGCTTGCAAAAACTAGAGTCCAACAGGGGCTGGGACTGTGGGTTGGGAACCACTGCTCTGGAGAAAGTTTTAGAATAAGCTTACTTCTGAGTATTAAAATTTGAGATGTAGCCTGGAATAAAGACAAGTATCCTTTTAATACCCATCTCCATCTTGCATCTAGCAAGGTAATAAGATTTCTCTTTGGTGTGGACGATGTATATTATCTTCATGGAGTGGACTATGTATATTATCTTCATGGTGTGGTACAGGCTTTTTTTACCTTTAAAAAGTATTTTCTTAGCATTTGAAAAAAGTTTAAGCAGTTGGGTCTTCACCTCTAATCTCTTCAGAAATATCCTTTTTAAAGAAGGTACTACTGGATTGTTCTGAAATAGTCTTAGAATTTTGGATGCATGAAATTATTCTAGTTTGTGTTTCATTTTTATCTTGTAAGATGGTACTTCATTTTTTTCTGTTCTTGAATGTATTGAGAAAGTGTATGCCTGCTCACTAGCTAGAGATGACCAATGTTAACATGTTGATACATTTCTCTTCCTTAAAGCTAATTGAGGTAACACTGTCTGACTGTCTGGTATCCTTTCTTATTTAAATCATTGACCTAATGTTAGTATAATTTTTATGTCAATCCAATTTTTTAAATGGAAAAATGTCTTTGTAATTTTTTTTAAATGGAAAAAAGGTTTATATAATTGTATCACAATTCAATAATTTCCTAATTTGCTAACCATCATGGCTGATGAGTTAGGACTAATGAAGTACTGAACTACTGCTATTAATTGTTGGTCCAATATATATGCAACATGATATGTTGATCAAGTTCATCACTTATGTTTGAAATTAATCTAGTCAAATGAATCTCTATTTTGTTGGCTCCGTTTTGCTTCCTTTTTTCACATTAATCTGGTTCTTTATGAATTGTTACAGCTTCAAGCTTATTTTTCTTTCTCAAATACTCACTGATTCTGATTTAAATGCTGACATTTAGGATAAAGATGGAGATAGAGCAGTTCACCATGCAGCTTTTGGGGATGAAGGTGCTGTTATAGAAGTACTGCACCGAGGCAGTGCTGATTTGAATGCTCGGAACAAGCGCCGACAGACGCCACTTCATATTGCTGTCAATAAAGGTCATCTTCAAGTCGTGAAGACTTTATTGGACTTCGGCTGTCATCCCAGTCTCCAGGTAAAAGCCTTTAAAGAAATATATTCTGCAAGTATTGCTAGAATTCTATTAAAGGGAAATACTAAGTACTGTGGTTAAGTATTTCTTTGTTACCAGTTGGGTTTTGTAGGATCAGTCATACTAAATAATACCAAAGGTATAGAATGTGATAAATTTGGCAGCTATTTCTTCACAAAGAAGCCTTTTTGTGAGAATGTGTCAGTAGATCAGTTTTATATTGGGGGTTTGGGTGGGGACTTCTTTGATAAAATAACAGCTTATGAGTTGATTTTATTTAATTTTATTGATCATGACATTGAACTTCAGTTTAAGAAGTGTAATAGGCTGTATTAGTTGTTTTGTAACTCTAAATTATTTTAATTGTAGCTTAGTTTATCTTAGAGTCTAGTCTTGGAAAATATAGGGTATTAGGGTTGATTTACAGTAGGACCTAATTTTTAAAGTGAGACTCATCTAAGAAATGATTCTTCCTGTATACAGTTTCAGGAACCACATGAATTAGATTGCATAGCTCTCAGAGAAATAATGAAGAGGAATAATGGTACCTGGGAGTAAGGGTTTGAGAACTGGAGGAGTTGAAGATTTTGTTCAGCTAGTAGTTATAGAACCTAACATATCTGAGGTGCAGACATTTGGAGACTGACAGGTTGGGAACTGAGAGGCTTTAAGTAGATGACAGGGTAGGATGGTGGGGGGAAAGGTAGGGGATGTTGATTTGTTGAGGGAGAAGGTATTTATACCTGCTCCTTTGGTTTTTTGTCTGAAATGGGAGGCAAAGTCATCTGTTGAGAGAGTGCAGAGTGGAGGGTGTGGAAAGGATAATTGGAGAGAGTGGTGAGGGTTTAGAATAGCTACTGTGGGGACCAGAAGGAAGGACAGATCGGGGCCTATGGAAGCTTATACTAACCATGTTAAGAACCCCTCGCAAGTTGAAGACTGAGTTTTTAGTGCTGCCAGATAGGAGGATAGAAAAAGGACAGTTGGGTTTGTAGGGAAAATGGAAGTTTCTGTGACCAGAATCCTCCCCTGACCTAAACTACTTGCTGATGTAATTGGCCTACTGCTATGCTAATGCTTACACACCTGTTGGCAATGAGATATTATAGTCGGTGTTACTGTATAAAGAACCTCACCCAGTGCTCTGTCCTCAGAACAAGGACAGATTGTGAACACTCCAGAGGCAGAGTGATAGCTGCCACAGTGAGAATAAAGCTTGGTATAAACTCTTTTATCCCTAACTTCCTTTGTTGTTATTCAGTCTCACCTAATCCAGAGTGAATTTGCCCAGGGGCAGTCCCCCTCAGGCGAGACAGGATTGAATTGCTTTGGGTATTTTATAAGGGTGGGTGAATACATGCCTGGGATTGGCAAACTTTCTGTGAAGGGCCAGATAATAGGCCTTCATGTGGTTTCTATATTATTATTCAATGTTGCAGTTACAGCATGAAAGCAGCCATAGATAATACTAAGGCTGTGTTCCAGTGAAACTGTTTACAGTGTCTTGCCAGTGGGTTTCAGCCCTGGGCAAGTTCACTGTGGATTCAGTAAGACCAAAAAATGATGGTGGAACATTCTTGGGGTGAAAGGGTTTTTACCCAACTTTATCCCCATGGTGGCAGGCCAGTCACTAGAATCCTGTTCACTCAGAGCGAGCCTGCATGCAGCAAGCCAGGCTCTGCCTCTGGACCTGTTTACCCCTGCAGCTGTTTCAGTCTCTGTCCCTGGCGCTGCCACCACTCCAGTCTAGTCTGTGCCCTCCTGCAGCCTTGCTCCTGTGCCACCGTGTCACCCAGAGCACTGGGTGGAGCTCTTTATATAGGGTCAATAACAACATATAGCCCACATGTTTGTGGTGAGCAAGCTGACTAGGGCCAGGTGAGAATCCTGCCCCTAAGAACCTTCACTTTGTCCACAACAACAACAGGTGTCAGGCTGGATTTGGCAGTTCTGGTATATGTCATAGGTTAGGCTGTATGTAACTTAACTGAAAAGAGTATATATGAAACTATGAATGAATGAGTTTTAAATTACCCATTTATTCAGATGACTGATAATGAATAACAACTTACTGTTAAATCTGTTGATTAGTGAAGAAAAGCTTGAAAAAAAGACTGAGGCTGCTAACTTTCCTTTTACATTTGTTTCATTTTGAGGTAAATAGCCACTTTCCTGCTCTTTGAAAACATTTAGATTAATGATTCTCAACTGTTTGACTACACAGTATATTCAGCTGGGAAGCTCTGAAATACTACTAAAATGCCTGAATCTCCCATCCCCAGAGATTCTGATTTAGTTGTCTTGAGAAAAGCCTGGGTATCAGCATGCTTTTAAGGGCTCCTCAGCAGAGTCTGAATGTGCAGCTAACGTCGAGAATTACTGATTTTCACTTCATTGCTGTGGGGCCCTGAGACTGGTGTAGGGCTGGTATGGAATTTCAGGGCACAACAATTAATGGTAGGAATATAGCGTAACAGCATTTTAAACTAACAAATTTTGGGGGCAGCCTTTTCACCTCATTAATTTTGAAATTAGCTGAATCATACTTAAGGGTACATAACTTAATTGACTTTTCCTTTTTTTTTTGTAAAACTACAGCACGTTTGTGTTTTCTGTCTAGATTGAGTATGAATATTTAATGTTTCTTGCCCACATTTTCAAATTTAGCAGCATATTTTGCTGATGGTTAGGTATGGCTTCTGTTTTTATTTAGTAGTTCAGTGTAAGTATTAATATTACATGTGAAGATTGATTGAAGAACTAATGAAAGTCTCTTCTAAACTTAAAAAAAAAAAAGGATTCTGAAGGTGATACCCCTCTTCATGATGCAATAAGTAAGAAACGTGATGATATCCTGGCAGTTCTTCTAGAAGCTGGAGCAGATGTTACCATTACAAACAATAATGGATTTAATGCTCTACACCATGCTGCACTAAGAGGAAATCCCAGGTAAAGATGTCACCTTTTATGATTTTATTTGCAGATTAAAATATTTTACTGTTGTTGGGTCTCTTTCTGATACTGATGAGGAAGTAATTTTGGCTTATTTTAGTATTTTAAATCATTTTAAGGTCTGTGGAAATTATATAAACTGAATAGGTCAGTTTTAGGTGATTGTTGTTAAAACTAGTACAAGTATTATGAAATGACTATTTAAATATATATTAAATATGGATATAAAGTAACAGAAGTATTCACTTATATATGAAGATTTAATTAAAACACATTCCATTTTGAGATTTATGTTTCTTCAAAATCATTCTTAGGCTTTCCTCTCATCCCATGGTCCTATTTGCCTAGTAATTATTTTTTATTCTTTGGCTAAATAACTAAGTTACCTAAATAGTTAAAAAAAATTTTTTTTATTAAGGTATTATTGATATACATTCTTATGAAGGTTTCACATGAAAAAACAATGTGGTTACTACATTTACCCATATTGTCAAGTCCCCACCCATACATACCCCAATGCAATTATTGTCCATCAGTGTAGGAAGATGCCACAGATTCACTGTTTGCCTTCTCTGTGCTACATTGTTTTCCCCGTGACCACCCCCATACCATGTGTACTTAACATAATACCCCTCAATCTCCTTCTCCCTCCCTCCCCACCTGCCCTCTCACATCCCTCCCCTTTGGTAACCACTAGTCCCTTGGAGTCTGTGAGTCTGCTGCTATTTTGTTCCTTCAGTTTTGCTTCATTGTTATAATCCACAAATGAAGGAAATCATTTGGCACTTGTCTTTCTCCACCTGGCTTATTTCACTGAACTTAATATCCTCCAGCTCCATCCATGTTGTTGCAAATGGTGGGATATGTTTCTTTCTTATGGCTGAATAGTATTCCATTGTGTATGTGTACCACATCGTCTTTATCCATTCATTTACTGATGAACACTTAGGTTGCTTCCATATCTTGGCTATTGTAAATAGTCCTGCATTACTAACTACAGTCACCATGCTGTATATTATAGCCCCATGAATTCTTATTCTCTGGTTCCATGTTACGTTTTGTATCATGTTTCCTTTAAGTTTTTTGTTACTTGTTAGCTTCTTAGGATCACCACTAGAGGGTGAGCAGAGAGAACAAAAGGATTTTATGCTATTGCTTGTTGTTACCTATAATATTGATATATAATATAGGATGAAATGGCCATATTTTAGATTATGTATTGATTTATGGTTTTCAAATTACAAGCATTAGAACACATTTTCCTTCGGCATTGTGAAGGAGACAAAATAGTGGTATGTGTTCCCTGCCTTTCAGATAGAAGATGGTGGTGATAGCAATTACCAGGTGCCAGGCTTCTACTGAGTGCTTTACTGTTTGATTTAATCCTTTCAACAGCTTTTTGAAGCAGGTGTTAATCTCATCTTTTTTATCGATGAAGAATATGGGGCTTTTGAAGAGATGAATTTATTTCTTCAAAATCCCACAGCTGACTACTAGAGCAGCTGGAACTTGAGCAGGGTCTATGTGACTTTAGATTCATAACTTTTAACCACTTTATATTACTTTTTCAGTATTATGGTCTGTCTGTGAGGCTCAACTGAAACACATGGATAGCGAATGGCTAACTAAATGTCTATTAATATGTCACCTTGCTGCTTGTGTGCTTAGCGATTCAACTTCCAATTAGTTCTTAAATTCCATTTATTCTACCAGTCTTTCTAATATATTCCATTCATTCTGTTCCCATTGTTGCTGATCTGAAGTGCTCACTGCTTTTACCTAGACTATTATAGTATGGTTCTAATTGTTCTCCTTGATTTCATTCTTATCTCTGATTTAACTTTCAGTTACCAAGGTATCATTTTAAAGGCATAGTTATAATGGCTGCTTTCTCCTGTTTCCGAATCTTCAGTTGCTTCCTATTGTACATAGAATAAAATCTGTTTATCTTGAACTTGGCATTTGAACTCATTTCAGGTATGTCCTAAGCCTGTCTTTCTAACTGTCCTCCCACTAATTAAAATCCTTCAGCCCATCTTGCCTTTTAAATACATTTTTATTCCCCTTTCCTAAAATTGTCTGCTTTCTTCCTTCATGAAAATATTTTCTTTGATCAGGATGCTCTTATTCCCCTTTATCTTGCCACCTTTCTTCTAGAGCTTGCAGATCTCATTGAAATAATTTTCTCTTTGCACATTATACTTCCTTGTTCTGTGTTTTTATTTTATTGCACTTATATTGTGTTTAGTGCTCTCTGTTAATGTGATGTATCTGTTTCTTTCTGTTAAAATTGTGCACTCTCCTTTTCATCTTTTTATCTTCCACAATGCTTTGACTATTGAATAGGGACTCAATAAATGTTAGTCGTAATTTGATATGATAATGTTAGATATCAAGATGTTAAATGACCAATTATAAGATAAACCCCGTAGAGAAACTGTTAGTTCAAATAGAGCAATTATTTCAGATTAGAATAGTCAAAAAGACTTTATTGAGAGAATTTAGGTTATAATATTGAATTGTAATGTTTAAGATAAACTGAAAAGTGAAGCTCTTAGGAAATCATTACCTTTTAAATATTTTGTATTGTTTCACTTTATTGGGAGCAGGCAAAGTAATTTAATACTGCTAAGCCTGTACAAGGAGGAGAAAATAGACTATTTTCTTCAATTCTTGCATAAATCTTGAGAATTCTTCTTGAAAATATATAATGGTGACTCCTCCAGCTAGTTAATTGGTGTCCGGTGACATTAAAAGGAAAGGGAAACTATTTTCATCCTATAACTAAGTGGTGCTTCTGTTAAAGCTACATGACTTACTTATTCCTGTTTCCTTAAGATATTTTATGTGGTACTGACAGTACTTTGCCAGATAACCAGTGTGATTTTACTTGGACACTGAAGAATACCAGAAGATGCCACAACTTACGTATCACTTGTAATTGCAAATTGTATTGTTTTGAGTTCCTTTTTATTATGTTAAATTTCTTATTCTTAGAATTAGCTTTTCCTTGCACTGACGAGTGGTGTCAAAAGATGGAACCATTTTTGGTATACTTGAAATTATAAAAACAAGTCTTTGCCTATAACACTTAGAGAAAACCAGATATAGTACATTATTATTTCCAGAACCTGATAAACTTAGTATTTTTGGGTAAAATATTAAATATGATTAATAGATGTACTAACATCCTCCCCTTCTAAGCATTTTATAATTTATATAACTTAATGACTGAGTTACCTTGATTTGTAACATTTTAACTTGTTCTTTGTGATCTTTGTTTTATACTGTAGTTAACTTCTTCAGTATACTTACTTGGCTTAACTTTTGGATTTCATGTATAGTTGTTTAATTGCAATTAATGGCACTTTAGTATAATCCTTACACTGTTCTTTTCCTGTCAGCAAAATGTGTAAATTTTTTCTGTAGTAAGTTGTTTACATCATTGTGAGTATAATACCAGCACAAATATTTACTTACAATTATTGCACTTTGTCATTTAGTGATATTTCTGAAATTTGTATGTGCATATATATACATGTGGAATTTGTAAGTAACATACTATTCCTTAGCCTTGCTTTTATCCATAATAATTTTCCAGAAATAAGTAAATAATGTAGTATACTTAATAATTATTTGTTGTGCTTTTTAGAAAGTGTCATTTTCTTGATTATCGAAAATACATCTAAGTGTCCTATATATTTTTTTTCTGCATTCCTGTTCTCTGTTTTCTAGTCCATTAATGGTCTCTAAGTGTCCTATATTTTTAAAGAATGTACTTTGAAATCTAGATTTCAAAGCCCCAGAGCAATGTAGATTCCAGATTTTAATGCTGATCTTGATTTTTCCTCATCATATAACAGTAACTGAAATAAAGACATTAAGAGAAAGAATTCTTTTTTTTTTTTTTTTTCAGAATTATGGAAGAGAATATAAGTTTTCGTTATGAGGCACTGAGTGCTTTGGTCATGCTTTATAAAGTCGAGTGTTTTAGAGTAGCAGTTACAATATGTCTTAATATAGTAATTTTTTTTAATTTTAAGAAATCTTAACTAAGAATCATGCTGCTTGTGTATTCCTAGATTTTATATTTCTACAGATGTTCCTCTAGAGTTTAGCCATATTATCTTTTCTTTTTGGATACAGAGGAAATTTCAGATTTACATGAGGAGCACAGATCATTTCTGTTGAAAATGAAAACTAAAAATTATGTGGATCAGCTTTAATCACATTACATAGGTACTTTCAGTGCATGTTTAGCTGTCTTTAAGTTTTTAGAACTCTTTCATAGGCATGAAAATAAATTAACGGTATTCACTGTAGATCTGGCCTAAAGCAATTGATAGGTATTTTGTGACTAGTGATAACAGTATTATAAAATTACTTTATTGTTATTTAGTATAAATTGAATATGAAAAGTAACAATAAAATATGAGTGAACCACATGATGTAATATACTTATGTTTTCAAGTTAGTGCTACGATAAATCAGAGGCATTTGTTGTTTACTTATCTATCCCCATAAAGATACATACTCTTACTGGAATATGTGAGCTACTCTTAATATTCCCTCTAGACTGTTGTGATACCTTTAATTTTTTTAATTTTGAAATATGGTCTGGCAATTGAAACTTTGTTGAAGATAGGAAGATTTGATTATCTGGACCATATCTTATTTTTCTTATAAACTCTGAACATGTTGAGTGCTCTACAAAAAGTGGCTGAGTCTGTTAAATGGTAATGTACTTATTGTATGTCCATTTCTCTCATATGTGTCCATGCAGTTACCCAAACACTATGTGCCTTATAATACTTAAATATATTTATGTGACTGGGATATAATATGTGCAAGAAGACCTGCTAACCTGAATGAAGTGATAAGATTTCTTTACATATACTTGCCTTTGCCCATGTTCCTTTAAGGGATGAGCTTCACTTTGAAATAGGGGCATGATTAGGAGTTGAGGATTGTGTAAACATCTAGGTTTTTACACCACCACTTACCATTAGTAGCCATTATTACTTAAATGATTATCTCTGTTTTTGAAAGAACATGACATTAACAGTAGTTTTATTGCCATCAATAAGAAAATTAGAAGAATGTTGGATCACTTGCCTTTCCTCTTCCTTCATTTTTCTCTTCACTGGAGATGTGTGTATATTTTTTGTGAAGGACAAAAAAGACAGGAGAGTCATAGAATGTTATTATTAGAAGAGATCTTTGTTTTACAATGGAGGAAACGACTTTTGGATGGGGGGGAATAGCCACACCAATAAACAGTAGTGATGTTCAGCATTTTCTTTCGTTTTTGAGGGTTAAAAACTTTTGGTTCGGGGTTGGAAAAGCTAGATACTTACTATTTAAGTCTCTCCACAAGGTATTCTGCAGTACCATCATGTTTTTTCACCTTACCAATCAATGTTCAGGTAAAAAGCAGTAAAGCTAAATGCTAATCCTGTGGAAGATAGTGACCCAACATTTCTAGTGTATTATTTTATTTGATGTTATATTTCCTTTAACTTAAAACGTGGATTTGTCCTTGTGAAATGCACTGTAGCATTCCTGTTAACGGTGTCAGGTGGGTTTAGGTGATCTTTCAGATGTTTTCTTCCTTTGAAGGAAGTTTTGTTTGTTTGTTTTTTTAATTTAGCATAGTCTACATTTCATTACCATTTCTTTTCTGGAGGATAAGTTTAATACCAAGAGACCACAAATAAGTAAAATGATTTTATTTGAAATCCTTAAGTCATCCACACATTTTTCATAAAGCTTTTTTTATGAACATTGTTAAACACTATGGCTCTTGCAAGTAGAATTAAGAGTAACAAATTATTTCAACCACAAGCTGAATAACTTAAGCTGAAAGTAGTTGGCACGTGATTGAAATCGACTGAAACGTTAACTGTCCCGTTGTAATCAATGCATAGCTACAGCTGGTTGAAGGGGACCAAATCCATTGAAGAGGCGATTTGGTTCCATTTTACCAGCTTTAGCAAAGCATTGTAGTGCGGCTAGTTGGGGATCCAAAACAGTTAAAATGCTTTGTATTTGTAAAATTATGGGCCTTCTACAAATGTTAAAGACTCTCATATCAGTTCTTCAGTCACTGAATGTAAAATTTTCTATATTCAAGGTGCTTTTCCTACTATGACCTGCTCCAATAGTGCAGGAATCTTTACCCTTTAAAATGTCATTAATGCAGTAAAGGATTATCAACGTACGTCTTTGTTTTTAACATCTCTGCTTAATTCTTAAATGTACACAAGTAGCCTGTTTCAAAGCCAACAGCATTTAAAGGAAAAAATAGACCTTGATTTATTTCAGAGTAATAATCTTTTTTATTTATCTCTAGGCAGTAAACCAAGGAAAATAAGCTAATAAGTTAGGGAATAGTACTGCTCTGCTAGTCAGACCTTTCTACCACCGCTGCTTTTTTTAGTATTATACTTGAGGGACTAATGGCAAGTTGCTGACTGAGGGTAGAGGAATGAGTAACCTTAAGGAAAATACCTCTGCCCTCTGGTTTATAAATAGATCATATATGTATTCAGTGTATTGCTTGGACTTGTGTTGAAAGGAACCACCATGTATGCCAGCTCATTTTTCTTTGTTTTTGCTTATGTTGTGTTACTAATCATAGGTTAGTAACTTAACCCTTTTAAATCTCTATTTCCTTGACAGAAGTCTGTCATTTTGGGTACAGATTGGCTACTTCTCATTATCAGTTTAATAATACATTAACTTGTGGTGATTGGCTACAGTTAATGAGTGTGAGTATTAAAGTGTACCATGTGAGTAATACTTTAAAACTCAGTACAGCAAATTTTTGTTATAATGTGATTTCAGTATTGCATTTCAACATCAGGGAAAAGATGTCTTCTGTAATATACTTGCATAAGTAAAAGTTTGAGGAATTACAGTTTGCCTATAAGGTAAATGCTCTCAGTGAAATATAAAGAGTAAAGAAATAGTTACCGTTTTGAATTATGCTGGGAGAAGGTCAACACTAATTCAGGCAATAATCTGACAATTCTCATATTAAGTATATTCTGCATCTGTTGCTTGGTAAGTATCATGCTGCTACTGGTGAAATTAATGTAACTACAGTTCTTTCCATCATTTATTTTAATAGAAATGAAACAGGTGTTAAATTGCCTGGACTTAAGTACTGAAGATAGCAATAAAACTGGCTTCTATTTTTACTAGTTATATGGGAGCTGTGTAGCAGGTCCAGTTGCTCAAGTGTGCTTTTGGATGGCAGTTCAGTTTCATATACTGGCCATATCGGGGCAAGAAGAGGCCATGGAAAAAAAATAGTACAGCATTTGATAATGTCAGCATCTGTTATCCCTGTCAGAGAGACAGTTGAAATGTTTGAGTTACACCAGTGTCAGCAGATGCCCAGAATTTAATATGTACTCAGTTAAAAATGAACAGCTGATCTAAGGGATGAATGTGACATTTTAGAGTGATTGAAAATAGTGCTAGATATGTTAAGTTAAACCTGTAAGCTCTAGAAACAGTATATAATTTTCCTTTTAAAATGACGAACAGATGCACTCATTGTATTTTCTAAGGAGTATGTATCCTTAATATTAGAGCAATACGATTCTTAGTCACTGGGATGTTTTAAAATAATTATTAAAAAGTTTTATTCCTATAGAAAAATAAATATGATTGTTATTAAAACAGTATAGTACTATTTGAGTAGTTTTATAGAGGAACCTTTTTATGATACATACTTTCAGTTGTTGGTATTTAGGGCATGTAGAGTTAACAAATTTAACAAATTCAGTATGAAGCATTACCATTCTGTTTGTGGATGATCAGAAAGAAGGTCTATGCTTAAGTGAGTTAGGCTTTGAACTAATTGTTTGAAAATGTAGAATTTGTAAAAATCATGAGCTTTTCGTAATTTCTAGTAAACCTGCAATAACTTATGTGCTACTGTATCTAACAGTCATTCTCATTATAATCTGATGCAGTGAAAACTATCTTTTTGACAACTATCTAGTTGTCTTATTAAACACAGAGAAAATTACAGTTAACCTTATAGCCATTTCTGTTCAACTTGTGACATAGAAAAAATTTAAAATTATTATTATACTTTTCATACATGTTTAAATATTCCATTGAAATGCATGTTTCTAGTATAAATACTATGTCTAAATAGGAATTTAGTATTAGTATTTCTTTATTCCTAAGTCTTTCATAGTAGCTTAAAACAGTACTGCTAATAAAGTATTGCTAAGAGCTTTATTATTTACAATTTATTAATCTATAAGTATGTACTGTATAGAATAAATTTTGTCTAAAACCTAGTGATATTTTTATATCTAACATACTATAAATTGTGGTTCTAGTGTTTATAAAAATTAAATTGTAATTGCATAGTACCAATAAAAGATGGTTATTTTATCCATGTAAATTGGTTTCTTGACAATAGTGTTTTCATTTTATGTGTCTCCTTGGCAAAAAGCAAATTCAGGGAATATAGATAATACATTAATTTCTTTTAAATATCAGTCTGTTATCAGACTTAGAACTGTGGCTCAGATTATCATTTTTCATCCATTAATCTTATGTTTTAATTTATTCTAAGTACTAGCATGACATTTAAAGTAGAGACTGGGTTAAGGACCTGATAAACTTGACAAGGACTTCTTTTTTTTGAGGATAGAATATTACTTAAAAGATAGCCTTTTAGAATTCTGTGTAACTTTCAAAAAAGAAATCTAAAGCAGCAAAACTTGCTTCAGAAATTCCTGTAATAATTAGTACATGATAAATTTATTAAAATATGAAGAATCCTGTTAAAATGTAAATGAAGCCAACTTTTGTTATATCTTCTATTTCTTAACAAATCAGTTGACCCTACAAATGTGACTAAGGTCGGGTTGTGGAGACAGAAAATAGGTCATTTGTATTCCTAATTTTTTTGTGCCGGTAATACTGTTTTTTCTCTTGTATTGAAATTTTAGTCATGTGGGTACTTAAAAAATGTAAAATGTAGCATATTTTACGATTAAAAGATTTAAAAGTTTTATCATTTTAAATCTATTGCAATAGAACTTTTTCTTCACAAGATATAAATCTTAATGACATTCAGTTTCCATCTATAAGTAGTAGGTACATTTTTATGGTGTTAGTATTGCCAGAGGCCATCTCTTTGATACTAGGTTAATTTACCTTGCTTCTGTTAGCTGAGGTTTAGTTCCCTCTTGGCAGTTTATTGCCTACCAAAAATACATACTTCTTTACATTCCATAGCATTGCATGTTCATATGGGTACATAAAGAAGTATGTACTCTGAGTAGGTGTTACTAAGTTGTTAGCTGTAAAAAGATAAAATATTTTATTTTCCAATTTGTTAGTAAAACATTCAGCTCACCGATGTAGAGCATTGGTAGATCATATGCAGAGACCATCAAAGACTAAACTGTGTAACAAATTTACCTGAAGCATGGTGTAAGTGCCATTTATGGTTCCTTGTTCCTGGTGGACATAGGCACCTCTAAACACTAACCAAGTTATGTTGAACTTTGTCCTGGTTTGGTGGTTGTTTTTGCAAGAGATTCATACAGTCAGTGGAGTTTTACAGAGTATATTTCAGGAATTGGTAAGATAGCCAAGTATTTCTTCATAGTCTTCAGAGTGAATTTCTTTATATTTGGTAGTTTGCTTCTGTATCCTGCAAGTAGTTAGTAATTAGTTTGGTGCAAATTCTCTTTACAAACTTAACCAATTAGCCAACAAGTTAAATACTTGTTCTGATGATATTTAGAAAAACCAGATCTTTTTAGAGTGTGAATGAACTGAATTTTTAAAGATGAGTTTTTTGTTAATGTTTCTTAAGTTCACAGGTAAGAACTCAAGATCTTTGGAAAATTTCTTTGTTGTCCCTTTATTAGTTCTGAATTTTTCACTTTGATGCTTCTGTTTGAGTTAAATACAAATTCAAGTAGACGTATAAATATCTAATTTTGGTGACTTTAGTTCTTTTGATTATTTTTTTTGATATAAAGGATAACTGTCAGAACAGTTAACTTTACCAAAGTCTCACTTAAAAGAACTGGAAGGTGTTAGCCTATGAGTACTTAGGTTTTAACTTGATCATTTTGCATAAAAAATTACAGTTGGTGAGTTGCCTTTAATTATTATGGTATTAAAAGGTTAATTTAAAAGAAAACCATAAGTCATTTTCAGATTTGGGAAGGAGGGGAAAAAAGGCAGGGAAAGTAAAATTTCTGCAGCTTGTGATTAAAAAGCTAGTATAACTGAGAGAGAGCAAATCAGGACATAGCAGCAGATAGCCCAGTACTACAGCAGTTTCAGCAGTGCAGGATTAGAATTTCACCTTGCACATTCTGATTTTTTTGGTCAACTATGCGTAAGCATTAAAAAATACTTTGTGATGTGCCAAGTTTCTTTGTTGGCTAAACCTTGAAATGGAAAGTTAACAGTTTTAAAAAGGTAGCGTACTTTGGAAGCAGGTGTGATTTACTAGAGATGCAAAATCGTTTAATTTGAAACAGTAAAGAGAAACAATAAAAACAAAAATCTTATGTAAATGGCAGCTATGGATTGTATGTTTTTGAGAATAAGAGTTATCTGCCATGATAATTAAACAACATTCCTTTTTACACTACATAGCTCTCCACTTGAACTCTGAAATTAGGCTGTGCCCAGATAGAATTTATCTATAAAAACATACCAAATCTATAATAGGTAAGCATGCAGAAAGGCATAAGCATCCTTAAAAGTACAGGCCTGGTAGTGCTTTGTTACCTTGTAAGCTTAGTGCCGTGCAGCTTCTGCAGCAGGAGGAGACATAATCACCTAGAGAGTCACATCAGCAGTAGCCATCTCATCTTGATTGTTCCTTCACTCTATTCGCTGATTCAGCACTTTTCCTGAGCCAGGTGAAGTAAGGGGGAAGTATCATTGCACAGAACCTCACCTTTTAAGATTAATTAGAAAAACAAATGAGCAAAAAAATTAGTCATCTCTGCCCTCTCCCTTCCCCTTAAAAAAAACAATAATAAAACTGAATTAAAGTTGGTCATTTGATGTGGAATGTCATATTACCAGTATTGCACAGATAATGAATACTTTGTATTTGCTATATAGAAAGTTCAGCAACCAGGGCCAGTTGCTACAGCAGCCAAGATGAACCTTGCTTATTTCGCAGATGAAATACTTCAGAAGAGGGGGAAAAGTTGTAGAGGAAGTTAATTTTATAATCTAAAAAAGACAAAAAACAACAAAACACACCTCATTCCCCAAAAGTAACTGTAGACATTCACCCTATTTTCCTTTGCCACCAGAGTACACTGGTTCTTCTGACTTCTCAGGAAACATTCTGTATCTTTCTTGCTGTGAGGTTTTTTTGGTTTTTAGTTTCCAGAATTAAATGGTAGATCTGTATTGAAGCTACCTTGTCATATCCAGAGGTCAAGTCTGCAAGCAAGGTCAGGACTTCCACATGGTCACTACAGAGGTTAATTTAGATTCTTCCCTCAGTGGCCACAGGCTAAACTGTTACAGCTTTATAGGCAGCTAAGCATTTGAAACATGCACTCCCAGGCAAACAGACTCTCTTGTGCCTCTCTCTTCCCTGACCATATTTAGTCAACCATAGCAAAAAATAGTCTCTCAGCTGTCGATTGTCGATCCAAAAGCTGAGGAAGCTCTATCTTGCTTTCTGCCTATTGATTGTTCATCCTGCGGTCCAAACACTGCTTTGCCATTTGTTCTGCCCCCCCTACTGCCAAATAAAGCGGTCTCTCATGTTCCCACTTACATTTCCCAGATTTTCACTGAGCTTGCGCTGAGACTAGAAAAGCCTGATGCGGCTGTCACTATACTTAGAAGTGCTGCAGAGAAAAAAGGAAAGAGGAAAAATACTACCCTGGCTCATAGCAAAATAGTCTTTGGACACAGATATGGAACAAATAAAATCCCTCTGCTGCCAAAATGTATCTCAGCCTGATTTTTTGTTGGTGAAAAATATTATCGATGACATTTTATATAGCTAAAGGTCCAAAGGAATTTTTGTAGGGTTATCTTTACAGCCAGTTGTTTCTGTATGTGCTTTTTAAATTTAATGAACAATGTTTGAATGGAAAATACGTAGAAATGGTAAGTAGAACCCTGTATATTAAAGATAGAGTGACATCATTAGGGAAGAAGACGGTATAAATGAAATTTTGGAAACTCTAAAAACTTTTAATTCAGTGTTAAGTTAATTTTTTGTAATGCTTATGTGAAAAACAAGTCAAACTCATGAGTAATTATGTACTTTTATATTGAAACTATACATACAGAACCATTAAAATGCATTCTAATAAGTTCTATTTCATTTTCATATGTGAAGTGGTTTTTTCTTCCCTTCTGCATCTCTATTCCTATTTAATTTTCTGAAATAGCTTTTGGGTATGATAATTTAACACTTTACCAAAGCCTGAAATAGTTACTAATTTGTTGTATGACTTTGCCTCATAGTGTATGTCTCAAAGGAAAAATCTTTTGTTCTAAATTTTACTAGAATATTCACAATAAATTTTAACACTGAAATTTATTTTTTCTAACCAAGGAGGAAAGAAATATAACATCAAATCAAACAAACCTGTGGAGATACAACTTAGGATCTTACAAACCTAAAAATGCCCAATAGAAACCAACTAGACCTTGTTCTTAATTTAAATATATTCTCTTAAGATTGATTCAGGTAAGAGTCAAGAAAAACCATTATCGGTTTTCTAGGCTCATTCTCCTACAAGGGAAGTTTGTCCTTGACATTTTTTTTGACGTTAGCATTTCATACTGTAGTAGAATTATTGTGGATGGCTGGTTTAAAACAGTGGCATAAAGAATGCTTCTGTAGATACTTGATAATTTTAAAGAGCCAGCTTTCCTAGATGCTGACACAATTTTACACATATCATCTCAGAGTGTAAGGTTAATTTTCGGTTCTAAATTGCCCCATTTTTTCCTAACCATTTTGTAGCAGTGAACATTTTTGTTGTTTTAGCAAATACATACCTAATATATTAAGTGCCAGGCACTCTTCTAAGCCCTTTAAAATTTTCATAACCCTATGAGATAGGATTTGTGATCCCTCTCACATTTTGTAGATGAGGAAATGAGGCATAGAAATAAAGTAAACTGCTTAAGTTGCTAGCCATCCAGTTTCTTAATGCCCAATTTTGAACCTATATAGTTTGGTTTCAGACTCTGAGCTCTTCATTATTCTGTGGTGCTCCTCTGGTTTGTAATGATGAGATCAGTAAGGGAATTACTACTCCTGGGGACTTTAGCATACACCAAAAATACAGTATGTTGCTAATATCCTTGCCTCAGTATTTTCAGAAAATGTTCATTTGATTTTCTTTCTCCATTCATTCCATTCAACAAAACTTTGAGCTCCTTGTACTAGGTACACAAAGGGAATATGAAGATAAGTGAAGTGGGCTTCTGTGGCTTACAACAGAGAAGGGAGATAAGAACTGACCAGTCATTTCATAGATAATTTTAGCTGTCTAAACACCTAAACAACTCTTCTGCAGCCTTCAATGAACCTTTAATTATGGTATCTGTCAAAAAAGTGTTTGTGGGGGAGAAAAAACACCAAAGAATTAAAAAGATATTTGTAAAAATATTTGTTCACTGCAGTTTTTCCATCCAGCTGTAGCTGGATGAAAGAAAGCAAAGCTAAGCCACTTATTAAAGTGGTTACGGTTACCACAGATAGCTTTTTGGTCTCCTTTTAGAAACTGCCTAGACTTCTTGTCTGCATATATTCAAATAGGGGTGTGTACTGAACAAAAAATGTGTTTAGAATATTACATACTAACCTGCTTTTATAGTGTGCCCCTAAGAACTACTTGGGATTGATCAATCCATAAAATTCCTTTATGGATTCTGGGCTAACCTGCTTTATTATTTGAGGAATTGTTCTTTAGCAAGCATTTATTGAACACCTAATATGTACTATAGTGTTATTTTAATGTCTTTTTACACTAAGCCATAATAGTGTGTAAGGCCTCCATAGTTGGGAAAGATGTTGCCTATTTCTCCAAGAAAGATTGCAAAGCGTGGCAGGCCCTAAAAATGGAACCAGTGCCATTTGACTATGACATACCAATGTAGCAGCTGCTTGTCCCTTCTACTTCTTAGGACTCATTTGTTCATCATTCAGCAAACGTTTGAGTATTACCATGTGCCAGGGATTATGCTGGGCACCACTATTAGTTGTTCTGAAACTTAATGCTTCTTTGGCACTGTTTACAAATGCCTGCTTAACTGGTAGTAAGATCTTATCTTTAAACCATCCATGTCCTTAACCTCTTGGAAAACAACCAGATTGAGAAATAAAGAAGAATATTTGGGCATTAGGGAAAAGTTATCTCCAAATCTCATATATTGTGCTCCACAGGTGAGTCTCCTGGCTTATTGATTTATTGTGCTAGTAACACCCTAATCCCGGTGACTCTGGGCCTCAGTGCTTGCTTGCAGCATAACAACAGTCTCTTAATTAACTAAGGTACTGCAGGGAACAGCCTGCAACTGGCTTTCCTGGTTATACTGTGGACTTCTAAGGTTGTCTACCCCATAGAAAGAATATTTATATATATAGGTGGGACCGATTAACAGGGTAAATTTGTTCTGAAATGAAAACTTGCACACAATAATTTTAACTTCAGTAGCCACTGAAGGGTGTCTTTAGGCTGTGATTCTCAATATACTTTGAGTCATAAATCTGTTTAAAAATCTGATAAAAGCTGTCAACTTCCACATTTGAGTACAATTATTGAGGTTCTTGGATCCTCCGGAGCCTGTTCTAAGAGAATCTGAATTTTGCATTTTAATATTAGAGTTTGATTTACTTAGTATAATGTGATCTAGAAGGGTCTAAGTTCAGTTTTGTTCTTCCAACAGTATCCTCGAATTACTGTCTTTCTCTTGTTCTGACAGTTCACTTATACATATTGTACTGAGAGAGGAAAAGGCAAAAGGCACAAAGTACTGTGAGTAGAGAGGCAATACGCTTTCAAGACTATTTCTGTTTAAATGCCCTAGTAACTTTCTGAGCCATTGGCTCTTCTTCCTGAGGGACTTTAGCTTTCCTTAGCGTGTTCTCTTATGAAATGCCAGCCCAGGAGAGCAGGTAAGTGATTCCTCCATCTCAGCAGACATCTTATGCCTCAGGAGGAATTACTCCTTTTGTCCTTTCCTTCCTTTCAGCTCTTGGCAACATAACACAGGAATGTACTTCAGAAACAAAAATGGAAGACAGTAGGAAATGTGGTTCTGTAAGAACCAGCTCAGTGACAAAAAAAAAACTACAGGAAATTAACTTGGGCCATACTTCATAATGTAAAACTTGATGCAGCATTTATATATCTTGGCTACAAGGACTAAAATTGCTAATTTAAAAGAGTTTAAGCACAAGTGTTATTTTAGTGTTTTGGCTTAAATTAAAAAAAAAATTAAACTATAGACAAAGTTTATAATGTTTAATATACATATATGTTACATAGGTAAGTCAAATACTGTCACAAAGCTTATAATGAAAGAGAACAATGTCTTGCTTTATCCCTCACCTCGCATGCCTCTCCCCACTGGCTGTAGTAACTTGGCAGCTTATCCTGCAGTTTCTTTGTCTGTCAGTTTTAGAACATTATCTACTGATTTCATGTTATGGAAAATGTTCATAGATTTACAGCTGTGAACATCCTCTATTACCACCTTTTCTCACAACATAGTCATATCAAAGTCTTATTTAAATCAATAACAAGTGTTTATAGTTTTTAATGATTAAATTTTTGTAGTAGAACATTTTTCACATTTAATTCTTGCATCTTTTAAACTCAAAAAAGATTTGTAAAACGCTTATAAACTGTTTCTTGCATGGTCAGATGTATAGGGTAGTAATGTTTGGCATTAATATCATGATTATGTCAAGTCCAAATTCAGTAGTGTAATGTGGTACCAGTACTTTTCCCCATTAAGAATCTTAGTCAAAGTCTACATAATATCTAGCATTTTATTCCACTTAGAGGATTAGAATCCTTATAATTAAAGTAAACGAACTGAAGCAGGAAACCTTAACTTTGTAGCAGGTCCATGTAGGGCTGAGGGATTTGTAGACTTCCTTAAAGTGGCAGGTAAAGATTGTATGTATTTCTCTGGGGGGCAGTTCATAGCTTTCCATAAATTGACAGAAGTCTGTTTTTCCTACACAATAATTTTAACTTCAGTAGCCACTGAAGGGTGTCTTTAGGCTGTGATTCTCAATATACTTTGAGTCATAAATCTGTTTAAAAATCTGATAAAAGCTGTCAACTTCCACATTTGAGTACAATTATTGAGGTTCTTGGATCCTCCGGAGCCTGTTCTAAGATTTCTTGAACTTCCTATGTGGGATTCATAGACCACTGCCATTAAAGAAACACTTTCTTGGTCATGTTAAGCCTTATTCTCACTTTTTTAATGACTTACTGTTTCATTCATACATACTCTTATTACAACTTCAGTCTGTTTCTCTATACATTTATAGCATCTCTCTTCAAATTTTTATTTCTCATAAATACCAGAGGAGAAACTATCCCAACATGTATCATAGTATTATTTATTGCCCTTTTATGCTCTACTGGAACAATTTCGAGGGCTTTTTTACTTTTTTTAGTTGGGAAAGTTTCAGTGTCTAATATATGTACATCATATCAACACTGTCCTTGCCAAGTATAACACTCTTTACAGGAGCAGGTTTCTGTTCAGTCTTTAACAAAAAATTAGTGGGGAAATATATTAAGGTATTTTTCCCTGTAAATTATATTATGATTTTTCCACGAAAAACCTTCTTGTTAGGAAGTTACTGGTGTATGGTAAGAAAAGTTGCTTCTGATTTTGCTTTTCTCTGTTTTGGGGGGTAGACTAGCTTCTTCAAGAAGCATCATTTCTTGTTCATTAGTTCTCTTGCTCTTTTATGCTTTAATCTTTGATGGTCTTTAAGATAACTGTCTTTTTTGCTCAGGAAATGTTTTGTTACTCATCCTTAAATTTTAAGTACTAAATTATAATTACCATTTTGTATGTTTTGATATCAACTGGATTTAGCACTGACATACATACCAGTTTTTAGTAGCTCTGCAGTTCATGATAGTCGGCCAGCTACATAAAATTAGTTTTCATCATCACTACTTTTCCTACTTTGTTACTGTTGTTACCTGGTTGTTTTTTATTAACTCTTTAGTAGGTACTATTCAAAATTGAACCTAAGAGATTACACAAAACCAAATTGTGTCCTTGTGAGGGCATATTTATTTCTCCATTGGTTTTTTTCTTTCATGTTTCCCTTTTGTAGCACACTTATTTTGTTTTGATTCTATTCTCCAAATGTTGGTAGTTCACCTCTTAAAGTATAAAAAAATCACACATTTGAGATTTAGAAAAATGGAATTTTCTATTTCTCTTTAAGGGCATAATTTAAAGAATAATATTTTCATATGGTTTCATTTGTATATTTTTCCTGAAGAAAATAGAATACTTAAATATGAGATTATACAAATATCAAAGTAATGTAAATTTGACTTTCAGTGCAATGCGTGTTTTACTATCCAAATTACCAAGACCATGGATTGTAGATGAGAAAAAAGATGATGGTTATACTGCCTTGCATCTTGCTGCACTTAACAATCATGTGGAAGTGGCTGAACTGTTGGTACATCAGGTAGGAAAAGCAGTTAATTTTAACACTTTTGGACCATTCTCATTTATTTATTACTTTCCTAGGTTACTGTAAAACCCATGAGGATGCATAATCAGAGTGCATCTGTCATCTTCTGCCTAACACTGGTTCTTAATGGAGGGAAGTGTGTGTGTGTGTGTGTGTGTGTATGTGTGTGTATGTATTCCTCAGTCCCCACTGTTCCCTCTGCCCAGTATTCCTGGATTGGGCCAAATGAGATGGGCATCAACTAACAGGAATTTCCCAGAATTGCTGCCACTCTTGTAGAAGTGCCCATCAGTCACAGGACCAGAACTCAACATGTTAACATCTAAGCTGGTGTGGCCAGTTGCCATCAGGTCACACCAGGCTGCAGCAAGGGTCTGGAGATTCAGTTCACAACTGCTGCTAGACCCCTGGAATCTGTTTGGGCAGCAGCACAGGCTCACTGTAGTCATTTCATTAATCTCTGAAGTAAGATGACTCCACATTTTTATGAGGTTAGATTTCTTGGGAACCTATTTATTGCAGTTTTATGATGTTTTAGTATACTCAGCAAAATATTTAAATGTCTCAGTCAAGTATATGCCATATAAAAGCCCTGAAGTTACCAAAGCCTATGATCTCTGACTTCAAGGAACTCTCAGTCTAGTTAAGAAGATGAAACAGTAGAACAATTTTGTAAGTAGTACATCAGATATACTTAAGCAGCAGGTCATAAGGTAGATCCATAAACTACGGAAGTTTAGGTAAGGAAATAGCTTAAAGTTAAACCATCTTTGTCCTGCCAGTTTAAGCCTTTATTATTAAAATTATTATCTTCAAAAGTATTGTTAATTATGATAATTTACTTTTCATCAAAATCTGCTTGACTGACCCATGCCAGTAATAGTGTTTTTGTTATTGTTGCTTTATAGAAGTCTTGAAATCACTTCAGTCCTCCAACTTTGTTCTTCTTTCTTAGAATTACTTTAAAATTCTAGATCTTCTGAGTTTCAATTTAAATTTTAGAATCAGACTGTTAGTTTGCATTAGAGTCTGAGTCTTTTAGAAGTTTGTTCTTGCACATACTAGATTTGTCTTTAGTTTTTTTATGCTATTGTAAATTGTCTTAAAATTTCAGTTTCTACCTGTATATTGCTAGTAAGTATATAGAAATACAGTTAGATTTTGTATACTGATTGCATATCTTGTGACCTTGCTTGAGTTACTATTTGTCATTAGGGAAACAAACTACACACCCACACTGAGATACTACAGTCAACTGAGGGGACTAAAATTAAAAAGACCAACAGAGCCAAGTGTTGGTTAGGATGTGGAGCCATCGAACCCATGTACATTACTGATGTTTGTTTTTCAAAGCAGCCACTTTGAAACACAATTTTGTAGTTTCTTATAAAGTGTTAAACTGTTTCATTATATGAACCAGCAACCCCATTTCTAGGTACATCCCCAGGAGAACTGAGGACACATTCCCATGCAAATACTCATACTAAATATTTGTAGCAGCTCATTTATAATAATCCCAAGCTGGAAGCAGCCAAATGTTTATAAAGTAATGTCTGGGTAAATGAATTATGGTGCATCCTATTATAATGTACCGTATTTGGAATGTACCAATTTGGAAAATGTAAATGATGGAAAAGGTCAGGAAACTTAAAAAGAAAATCCCTCACTTTCTGCATTTACATGAGAACAGACATGATAAGAAAACAAGGTGAGATCAGGTATCTCATGATTGCACTCAGAGAAACATAAATGATAAGCCAGAAACTCCCATCTGCCAGAAGATGTCATAACATTACTGGAGTTTCAGCCCCACCTGATACTCCAAGCAAGGCACAGGTGGAATCAGAGTGCATGGATGGCTCTAAGATGTTAACGGAATGATAAAGTTTATCTTTTGAGTATGTAGCACTTAATTTCCTTTTTTTTTTGTTCTTGTGCTAGACATTGTGTTAGGCAGTTTAAGTGTTATTTTTCTTACTCCTTACTGTAGGGGAGGAAAATTTTTACTTTATTCTCTTCTAGGTATTTTGGCTGGTTTAATTACTAAGTTAACCTAACACAGATCAACAGGAGAAACATGTTTAATTTCATATATACAGGAGCTCATAAAAATAGATTCTGATGTGACCACAGCAGGCAGCTTTTATACTTTTTAAACAGTTATTTGTGAAGAATTAATAAAGGTGTTTGGGCTTAGGATAGGAAAATAAATGAAGAAGTAGCAGTTTGTTTATACAGCTTTCTTGGCCCTGAGTTTCCAATTTCTGGTGATAAGAATGCCTTCTACCCTCCAGGCACAGGGAAGGTAGCTTTCCCATGGGGAATTTATTTCCAGCCTTCAGGGGAGAAAAGAAGGGTCAGAGTGTCCCTGCACTGGCTATTTCCTAAGTAACTTTAATTCAAAATAATCAATGTGCCAAAGTGGCATATTGTGAGGCAGCCTACCCTGATCATCACATTGGCCCTGTGAAACAGACTGTACTAACACCACGTTAGAACTGAGGAAATAGACATGAAGTGGCATAGTGAATGCTTGCCTAAGTTCACAAAGCTCATAAGTGATGGCACTTGAACCTTGGTACCCCTGATGCTACGTTCAGTGCTTTTGCTCCTCAGCCCTCCCTCTGTCTTTGGCATCAGCTGTTCTCATATAGGCCTCTGGCCATGTCAGGATCCTGGTAGAACTTCCTGCTCTCCCTTTAGTAAGAGTTTTTCTGTACTTAATTAAGCATTTCTTTTTACCAGGAAGCAAAGTTCCTTTTTACTGAGTGAGGAAGAGCTCAGTTACGCAACAAGAAGAAGCAACCTTATTAGGTCATTAAAGTAAATCTAAGTTTAATTCTTATACAAAGACTCATTAATACAACTTTTCAGGAAATACTGTTTAGTTAAAATACTAATTAATAGTTTAGTTAAAACTGTTTAGCTGATTATCTCCATTGCTCTATAATAGAGATTGAAAGAGCTGTGTTTGAGTTCTGTATTGTACTTTGCCTAATTGTTTTTAGATGGAGTCACTGTGATAAAAAAAATTAATTTGAACTCGTGGTTCCATTTCAGAAGGTTTGCTGTCCCATCCAGTTCTTCCTGTATTACCAGCAACTCTTACCCTGTGAGAACAGTGTTTCAGCAGCTAGAGGAGAGGAGAGTGGTCAGCAGTGTCCTGTATTAGTGAATTCTCCAGAAAGAGTTAGTTTTAGTGTTGTTCACTGTTGCCAGATCTTAACTATGTAAACTTTGTTCTTGTTCAGGGTAATGCAAACTTGGATATCCAGAACGTGAACCAACAAACTGCCCTACACCTTGCTGTTGAAAGACAGCACACCCAGATTGTGAGGGTAAAGTGTTTATAACGTGAATCTTGGCTTACAATGTGTTTTAACCAGAAGGATTTCTAGAACATTTTGAAAATTTAACAGTGATACATTGTTAGATTTCTCCAAACGCATAGCTAGATGTAAAAAATTATGATTTTAGGGTATTTTACATCAGGTGGGTGAAAAGTTTTAACTTATAATAGGGAAAATCTTAGAATTCTACTATTCAGTGTCTTTATAATTTTGCTGACAGATTTGTGAATTCCCAAAATATTAAATCATAGAATTTCAAAGTATCATTAGTTTTTAAAAAGTACATTCTCCTCTTAATTTGTGTTGTTGAGAGTAAACTTTGTATGTTTGCCACACAGATTCAAAAAGTATGAAATAACATTTTTATTTTATATGCTTTTGAAGTAGTGTATTTTTTTTTTTACTACTCTGGTAATTAGTAAATCCAGAAAAAAATATTTGAAAGATGATCTGTTTAAAATTTTTTTGTAGAGCGATGATTCTTAGAGTTGGGAGGCTGACCCTGCAGTGTCAGCGTCATCTGGGACTTTAGTAGGAAAGTAGATTCTTGGGCCCCACCCTCAGACCAACCAACTCAGAACCTCCAGGGTGGGAGTGGCCATCTGTGATTTAACAAGCTCTTTATGTAATTCTGATGGATGTTCACATTTGCGAAACACTGCACCAGAGTGACACTTTATCTAATGTTTTTGGAACAAAGTAAAAATTGGTAATTGGCCATGACAGATAAAACCATGTGCCTGATTGAGATTGGTTTCTTTATATGGTGTTTTTCTAAGATTCTAATAGCATTTGTAAAAATATTAGGAAAATTATTAAGGCACCATAAGCAAAGTCTTAAAGTTATATTTAATCCTTACAATGTCTATTGAAATATATCCTTATGCATTTTATGTAAGAGGTTGTAGTTCAGTAAACACTTCACATTTATGATTTGAACTTGCTCATGCTAAAAGTTCTTTATCTGTGATACTTGCGCTTTTCCTATGACCATTTTGGAGAAAATCGACCAAAGAAAATGGAATAAATAATTTTTGCTTGTTTGAGTAATAGAAGAATTTGAACATTATGATTTGGTCCTATTGGAAGTATTTAAAATATCCCAACTTACATATCTGAAATTAAAAGGAGGAAAAAAAAGTCCCAAATTTCTTCCAGTTACATTATCTTAGAGTAGGTGAGTTAAGCAGTATATTGGTTGTCATTTCTTTCTGTTTTCTCTAATTTGATATTTGAGTAACCAGAGCTCATTGCTTTTTGTAAGGAAGGGTTATAGAGTAATAGCAAGAAAATCATAAAAATAATTAGCTTTAATGCAGCTGGCAACTTCTTCAGGTAGGTCTAGGGCTCTCTCACTGTTTAGATAGGCTGTGATTTCTCATGGGTGGGGATACCTTAGCAAAATAAGATGTCTTTCTCTTCTAGCTTTTGGTCCGTGCAGGTGCCAAATTAGATATTCAGGATAAGGATGGGGATACTCCTTTGCATGAAGCTTTGAGGCATCATACCTTGTCTCAGCTACGTCAGCTCCAAGATATGCAAGATGTGGGGAAGGTCGATGCTGCCTGGGAGCCATCCAAAAACACAGTGAGTAAAGATAATTGTAATTCACTACAAGTGGAAGCATCTTTTAATGCAAGATCTTATATTTATGGCTAATTTAATCTGCATCTGCTATAATATTTTATCAGAGCTACGTATGTAGAAATTTAGTTCATGAAATAAATACTAGTCAATACTAACTACATCAATTCACATTCTTTTTTTTAAACTATTTTTTGTACTACTTTGGTTTTTTTTTATTAAGGTATCATTGATACACACTCAAAGTTTCACAAGAAAAACAGTGTAGTTATTACATTCACTCTTATTATCAAGTCCCTCCCCATACCCCATTGCAGTCACTGTCCATCAGTGTAGTAAGGTGCCAGAGTCCCTGTTTGCCTTCTCTGAGCTACACTTTTTTCCCCATGACCCCCAACACACCATGTGCACCAATAATGATACCCCACAATCCCCTTCTCCATCCCTCCCCACCAGCCCTCTGCCACCCCTCCCCTTTGGTAACCACTAGTCCCTTCTTGGGAGTTGTGAGTCTGCTGATATTTTGTTCCTTCAGTTTTGCTTTGTTGTTATACTCCACAAACGAGGGAAATTATTTGGTATTTGCCTTTCTCTGCCTGACTTATTTCACTATATTGCTTCACATTCTTACCAAAGTTGTTTGGTTCTTTTTTTAACTTCAGCCATTCAGATAGATATGTAGTTGTAGCTCGTTATGATTTTAATTTGCATTTCCCTAATGACTACTGACATTGGACGTCTTTTCATTCATTTGTTCATATATTTGATGAAGTATTTGTTCAAACCTTTTGTTCATTGTTCTGTTGAGCTCTTTTTTTTACTGTTGAGTGTTGAAAGTTCTTTACATAATCTGAATACAATTCTTTACCAGATATGTGATATGCATCTATATCCTCCCAGTCTGTGGCTTGTCTTTTCTTTCATTTAAGTGTTTTTGGGAGAGCAGAAGTTTGTCATTTTGATGTATCTAATTTACCAGTTTTTCTTTCATTATTTGTACTTTTTGTGTTCTGAGAAATCTTTGCCAAACCCAAGGTCATAAAGGTTCTCTATTTTATACTATAAGTTCATAAACTTTTAGCTGTTACCTTTAGGTCTGTGATTCATTTTGAGTGAATTTGTATATATAGTATAGAATTCATTATTTTTACGTATGGATAGCCAGTTGTCCCAGAACCATTGGTTGAAAAGACTTTCTTCTTCTACTGCATTGCTTGTGCCTTTGTCCAAAATTAGTTAACCATGTATGTGAAGTCTTCCTGGGTCTGTGGCTCTAGCTTTGTGATGTCAGTCCTACTGTCCTCATTCCCGTAGCTTATATTATGATAAATATTCAAGTCAGTCTATGTCCTTTAACTTTCATTGTCTTTTTCAAGGTTGTTTGTTTTAAGTCCTTTGCCTTCCTATATGAATTTTAAAATAATTTTTAAGAATATAAAGGGGTTCTTGCTGCCTTTGTGGACAATTCTTTACTTCATTTTTCTCATTTTAAAATGAAGGGGAGTAATTACTCATAAGGTGGTTGTAAATATTAAATGAATTAATTAGTGGAAAGTTCTTAATAGTACTTGGTCCACTGTAGACACTTCATTAATGTTAATGATTATTGGACTATTTTCAGAAAAGATGTTTAAATTAGCTGAATCTGATTTCTCTTATTCCCCATTTGTTGGTTCACTTCTTAGGTATTGATTCTTTTCTCCATTGTCTCTCCCTTCATTGTTTCAAACTGGTTGCTAGCAGCTGCAGAGTCAAATTGAGTAGAATAGCAAGTACTGTGTCCTTAATATCTCAATCAGAAGTCCTCTTATTGAGTTTTATTGGCCTTAATTGATCTGATTTGGGTTATGTCATTCCTGAACTAGTCTCATAGATACGGTGTATATCTGACTGGTTTGGTCCTCCTTCTGTCCACCTCTAAAACTGGAGAGTAGGTCAGTCATCAAACTATATGGCTGAGAAATTGGAGTGTGTGTGTGAAGGGGAATGGATATTAGGACTGCAACTCATGAATGTCCACCATATCTATATAGGCTATAAGTTCTTCCCAGACATGTATTTTTATTTATGGTACATACACACATGCACACACACACAGTTTTGTGGTGAGAATTGATAACAGATTCCTAAAGGGAAAATAATGACTTTTTTCATTTGATTTCAGTTAATAATGGGACTTGGTACCCAGGGTGCAGAGAAGAAAAGTGCAGCATCTATTGCCTGTTTCTTGGCTGCCAATGGCGCTGACCTTAGCATTCGATGCAAACTTGGATATCCAGAACGTGAACCAACAAACTGCCCTACACCTTGCTGTTGAAAGACAGCACACCCAGATTGTGAGGGTAAAGTGTTTATAACGTGAATCTTGGCTTACAATGTGTTTTAACCAGAAGGATTTCTAGAACATTTTGAAAATTTAACAGTGATACATTGTTAGATTTCTCCAAACGCATAGCTAGATGTAAAAAATTATGATTTTAGGGTATTTTACATCAGGTGGGTGAAAAGTTTTAACTTATAATAGGGAAAATCTTAGAATTCTACTATTCAGTGTCTTTATAATTTTGCTGACAGATTTGTGAATTCCCAAAATATTAAATCATAGAATTTCAAAGTATCATTAGTTTTTAAAAAGTACATTCTCCTCTTAATTTGTGTTGTTGAGAGTAAACTTTGTATGTTTGCCACACAGATTCAAAAAGTATGAAATAACATTTTTATTTTATATGCTTTTGAAGTAGTGTATTTTTTTTTTTACTACTCTGGTAATTAGTAAATCCAGAAAAAAATATTTGAAAGATGATCTGTTTAAAATTTTTTTGTAGAGCGATGATTCTTAGAGTTGGGAGGCTGACCCTGCAGTGTCAGCGTCATCTGGGACTTTAGTAGGAAAGTAGATTCTTGGGCCCCACCCTCAGACCAACCAACTCAGAACCTCCAGGGTGGGAGTGGCCATCTGTGATTTAACAAGCTCTTTATGTAATTCTGATGGATGTTCACATTTGCGAAACACTGCACCAGAGTGACACTTTATCTAATGTTTTTGGAACAAAGTAAAAATTGGTAATTGGCCATGACAGATAAAACCATGTGCCTGATTGAGATTGGTTTCTTTATATGGTGTTTTTCTAAGATTCTAATAGCATTTGTAAAAATATTAGGAAAATTATTAAGGCACCATAAGCAAAGTCTTAAAGTTATATTTAATCCTTACAATGTCTATTGAAATATATCCTTATGCATTTTATGTAAGAGGTTGTAGTTCAGTAAACACTTCACATTTATGATTTGAACTTGCTCATGCTAAAAGTTCTTTATCTGTGATACTTGCGCTTTTCCTATGACCATTTTGGAGAAAATCGACCAAAGAAAATGGAATAAATAATTTTTGCTTGTTTGAGTAATAGAAGAATTTGAACATTATGATTTGGTCCTATTGGAAGTATTTAAAATATCCCAACTTACATATCTGAAATTAAAAGGAGGAAAAAAAAGTCCCAAATTTCTTCCAGTTACATTATCTTAGAGTAGGTGAGTTAAGCAGTATATTGGTTGTCATTTCTTTCTGTTTTCTCTAATTTGATATTTGAGTAACCAGAGCTCATTGCTTTTTGTAAGGAAGGGTTATAGAGTAATAGCAAGAAAATCATAAAAATAATTAGCTTTAATGCAGCTGGCAACTTCTTCAGGTAGGTCTAGGGCTCTCTCACTGTTTAGATAGGCTGTGATTTCTCATGGGTGGGGATACCTTAGCAAAATAAGATGTCTTTCTCTTCTAGCTTTTGGTCCGTGCAGGTGCCAAATTAGATATTCAGGATAAGGATGGGGATACTCCTTTGCATGAAGCTTTGAGGCATCATACCTTGTCTCAGCTACGTCAGCTCCAAGATATGCAAGATGTGGGGAAGGTCGATGCTGCCTGGGAGCCATCCAAAAACACAGTGAGTAAAGATAATTGTAATTCACTACAAGTGGAAGCATCTTTTAATGCAAGATCTTATATTTATGGCTAATTTAATCTGCATCTGCTATAATATTTTATCAGAGCTACGTATGTAGAAATTTAGTTCATGAAATAAATACTAGTCAATACTAACTACATCAATTCACATTCTTTTTTTTAAACTATTTTTTGTACTACTTTGGTTTTTTTTTATTAAGGTATCATTGATACACACTCAAAGTTTCACAAGAAAAACAGTGTAGTTATTACATTCACTCTTATTATCAAGTCCCTCCCCATACCCCATTGCAGTCACTGTCCATCAGTGTAGTAAGGTGCCAGAGTCCCTGTTTGCCTTCTCTGAGCTACACTTTTTTCCCCATGACCCCCAACACACCATGTGCACCAATAATGATACCCCACAATCCCCTTCTCCATCCCTCCCCACCAGCCCTCTGCCACCCCTCCCCTTTGGTAACCACTAGTCCCTTCTTGGGAGTTGTGAGTCTGCTGATATTTTGTTCCTTCAGTTTTGCTTTGTTGTTATACTCCACAAACGAGGGAAATTATTTGGTATTTGCCTTTCTCTGCCTGACTTATTTCACTATATTGCTTCACATTCTTACCAAAGTTGTTTGGTTCTTTTTTTAACTTCAGCCATTCAGATAGATATGTAGTTGTAGCTCGTTATGATTTTAATTTGCATTTCCCTAATGACTACTGACATTGGACGTCTTTTCATTCATTTGTTCATATATTTGATGAAGTATTTGTTCAAACCTTTTGTTCATTGTTCTGTTGAGCTCTTTTTTTTACTGTTGAGTGTTGAAAGTTCTTTACATAATCTGAATACAATTCTTTACCAGATATGTGATATGCATCTATATCCTCCCAGTCTGTGGCTTGTCTTTTCTTTCATTTAAGTGTTTTTGGGAGAGCAGAAGTTTGTCATTTTGATGTATCTAATTTACCAGTTTTTCTTTCATTATTTGTACTTTTTGTGTTCTGAGAAATCTTTGCCAAACCCAAGGTCATAAAGGTTCTCTATTTTATACTATAAGTTCATAAACTTTTAGCTGTTACCTTTAGGTCTGTGATTCATTTTGAGTGAATTTGTATATATAGTATAGAATTCATTATTTTTACGTATGGATAGCCAGTTGTCCCAGAACCATTGGTTGAAAAGACTTTCTTCTTCTACTGCATTGCTTGTGCCTTTGTCCAAAATTAGTTAACCATGTATGTGAAGTCTTCCTGGGTCTGTGGCTCTAGCTTTGTGATGTCAGTCCTACTGTCCTCATTCCCGTAGCTTATATTATGATAAATATTCAAGTCAGTCTATGTCCTTTAACTTTCATTGTCTTTTTCAAGGTTGTTTGTTTTAAGTCCTTTGCCTTCCTATATGAATTTTAAAATAATTTTTAAGAATATAAAGGGGTTCTTGCTGCCTTTGTGGACAATTCTTTACTTCATTTTTCTCATTTTAAAATGAAGGGGAGTAATTACTCATAAGGTGGTTGTAAATATTAAATGAATTAATTAGTGGAAAGTTCTTAATAGTACTTGGTCCACTGTAGACACTTCATTAATGTTAATGATTATTGGACTATTTTCAGAAAAGATGTTTAAATTAGCTGAATCTGATTTCTCTTATTCCCCATTTGTTGGTTCACTTCTTAGGTATTGATTCTTTTCTCCATTGTCTCTCCCTTCATTGTTTCAAACTGGTTGCTAGCAGCTGCAGAGTCAAATTGAGTAGAATAGCAAGTACTGTGTCCTTAATATCTCAATCAGAAGTCCTCTTATTGAGTTTTATTGGCCTTAATTGATCTGATTTGGGTTATGTCATTCCTGAACTAGTCTCATAGATACGGTGTATATCTGACTGGTTTGGTCCTCCTTCTGTCCACCTCTAAAACTGGAGAGTAGGTCAGTCATCAAACTATATGGCTGAGAAATTGGAGTGTGTGTGTGAAGGGGAATGGATATTAGGACTGCAACTCATGAATGTCCACCATATCTATATAGGCTATAAGTTCTTCCCAGACATGTATTTTTATTTATAGTACATACACACATGCACACACACACAGTTTTGTGGTGAGAATTGATAACAGATTCCTAAAGGGAAAATAATGACTTTTTTCATTTGATTTCAGTTAATAATGGGACTTGGTACCCAGGGTGCAGAGAAGAAAAGTGCAGCATCTATTGCCTGTTTCTTGGCTGCCAATGGCGCTGACCTTAGCATTCGAAATAAGAAGAGTCAGTCGCCTCTTGATCTCTGTCCTGATCCAAGTCTCTGCAAAGCACTGGCAAAATGTCATAAAGAAAAAGTCAGGTTTGTATTTTTAATATTCATAATATTCTGTACATAAAGTATCCTGTGGTTTCATAATGGAGGACTTGATTACTTGAAAATGTCTTTGTGTTGAGCCTTAAAATTTTTCCCACAGACATCATGTCTCTTACTTTGTGCTGCAGTCTCTACAAATGTCCCTAAACTAGTCACACTTCAAGTACTCCTGTATATTACAAGAATTTATCTAAAGAAAAAATTTTACTAGTGAAGTTGCTATGATTAATGTTAGATGTATTTAAAATTTTAATAGACTCTTCCTAAGAGGCAATTGACATGCTCACCAACAGAGTATATCTCACTCAAACTCTAATAATCCAGCAACCTGCACAGTGCCTGACAGCACTCTGTAAGTATCAATGAAGGACTGAACGAATGAGCACATGAATGAACCTATTCCTGATGGAGTTTTCCCTAAGAATGATCATTTGTAAATGATTTTAATTATTATTTATGGTATAACTGATTTTCCTGTTATGATATTATATATAACAAATAGTTTTACTTCATTACTTCTTCATCCAAATGGTGCTGTATAACTGTTATTGCCCCTTTTACCTGGTTCTTATTGAACATTTCAGTAGTTTTCCCTTGATCTTTGTGCTCTCTTGGCTGTCTTATAATTTGTGTGTAGTGATGAAATGACATCTCTCTGGAATCTGTGCATAGAGCTGTGTTATACAGAAGTTAGTATAGTGAGATACACATTTCTTTAAGTGTATCCTAAAGGAACAAGAAATTTTATTACAAAAAGTGCATCTAAAAAAATGTAGGTACAAGGCACTGTAACTACAGTAGTGGCTTTAACCGTGGGGTCTAAGACAAAACCACTTTGTGTATGTGTGTGTGGACAGGTTCATGAGTTTCTGAAGATTGTGGTAGAAATGGTGTCCCATTCCTATAGCTGTAATTGGTCATGTATATTTGTATTTCTGTGTCTTTTGTCCATATATTGGTAGATGTGTTCTGTCTTTCTATAATATAATTTTATGCTGCTTAAGGATTCATTGAAAGAAATACCAAGGCAGCAGCTGCAGTGACATATTTCCCTCAGTGCCTATCAGTTGTGGACTCTGGTGGTGTTTACTCTGTCTGTAGTTGGGACAACTAACATGGGCTCTAGTTACGATTTTTGTTTTACTCCAGTGCCTTCCTTTGCTGGTTCTATATAGATAAAGCAAATTCTGGATGAAACTATGTTTATGTTAAATTTTTTTTAACTAGTATTTTGGATTTCTTTGTTAGCAAAAGTTTCACCCTTTTCCATTGGGTGATGATTTGTTCAGTTTGGAATTTGAACAGTATTAGAAGTGTATAAAGATGCAGAGGTTTTTATAAATAGAACAGTATATAGTATTTCATATACAGATGTGAAAGCTTAGTTTTTTAATATGGCTAAAGCTGTTTTTACATATATTCATGGTGCTCTCAATGTTTTTGAAACATTTAAATTAATGAATTTGAAATAGAAATATTCACGTGGGCTTGATTAGATGTGTTTTCTTTTATTAGTGGTCAAGTGGGTTCTCGAAGTCCTTCTATGATTAATAATGATTCTGAAACCTTAGAAGAGTGCATGGTGTGTTCAGATATGAAGAGAGATACTCTTTTTGGCCCATGTGGACATATTGCTACCTGTTCTTTATGTTCTCCACGAGTCAAGAAATGCCTCATCTGTAAAGAACAAGTTCAATCCAGGACAAAGGTAATATATTTTTAATAACAGCATTTTGCCATTTTATAAAGTTCTTTGAGACTCTAATTAATTATAAATTGGATTATGTGTTGCCATTTAGTCTCCTTCTGGTCTCCCAAAGAATGATTTCAATTTAGGAATGTATAATTATATCTTTATCAGGAGATCAGCTATGAGTTTCCATTTTTACACATAAACTATAATAGTTAAAAATAATCTATTTTGTTTTCAAAGCCCCTTATAACTCAAGTGTCCACATCATATTGTACTTATTTGTGTATTGTGCCTTTTTTGGTTGCATGGACTGTCAGTACTGTATTCATCTTTTAAAAGACCAGTTGATTTTTTTCTGTAGAATGTCATGTGTTATGGATTTATTTGATTATTTAATCATGGTGGTGGTTAATTTGTCTCTGAATCCTCATGTTTCTTTTTTTTTTTTCTCCTATTTTTTATTAAGGCATTATTGATATACACTCTTAGGAAGGTTTCACATGAAAAAACAATGTGGTTACTACATTTACCCATATTATCAAGTCCCCACCCATACCCCAATCCAGTCACTGTCCATCAGTGCAGCAAGATGCCAGAGATGCACTATGTCCCTTCTTGGAGTCCCTAACCACTAGTCCCTTCTTGGAGTTTCTGAGTCTGCTGCTATTTTGTTCCTTCTGTTTTGCTTCATTGTTATACTCTACAAATGAGGGAAATGATTTGGCACTTGTCTTTCTCCTTCTGGCTTATTTCACTGAGCATAATGTCCTCCAGCTCCAACCATGTTGTTGCAAATGGTAGGATTTGTTTTTTTCTTATGGCTGAGTAGTATTCTATTGTGTATATGTACCACATCTTCTTTATCCATTCATCTACTGATGGACACTTAGGTTGCTTCCATTTCTTGGCTATTGTAAATAGTGCTGCAATAAACATAGGGGTGCATATGTCTTTTTCAAACTGGGCTGCTGCATTCTTAGGGTAAATTCGTATGAGTGGAATTCCTGAGTCGAATGATATTTCTATTTTTAGTTTTTTGAGGAAACTCCATATTGCTTTCCACAATGGTTGAACTAGCTTACATTCCCACCAGCAGTGTAGGAGGGTTGCCCTTTCTCCGCATCCTTGCCAGCATTTGTTCTTAGTCTTTTCGATGCTGGCCATCCTTACTGGTGTGAGGTGATACCTCATTGTGGTTTTAATTTGCATTTCCCTGATGGTTAGTGATATGGAGCATCTTTTCATGTGTCCGTTGGCCATCTGAATTTCTTCTTTGGAGAACTGTCTCTTCATATCCTCTGCCCATTTTTTAATTGGGTTATTTGGTTTTTTGGGTGTTGAGGCATGTAAGTTCTTTATATATTGTGGATGTTAACCCCTTGTCAGATATGTCATTTACAAATATATTCTCTCATACTATAGGATGCCTTTTTGTTCTGTCGATGGTGTCCTTTGCAGTACAGAAACTTTTTAGTTTGATGTAGTCCCATGAGTTCATTTTTGCTTTTGTTTCCCTTGCTCGAGGAAATGCATTTAGAAAGAAGTTGCTCATGCTTATATTCAGGAGATTTTTGCCTATGTTGTCTTCTAAGAGTTTTATGGTTTCATGACTTACATTCAAGTCTTTGATCCATTTAGAGTTTACTTTTGTGTATGGGGTTAAACAATAATCCAGTTTCATTCTCTTGCATGTAGCTGTCCAGTTTTGCCAACACCAACTGTTGAAGAGGCTGTCATTTCCCCATTGTATGTCCATGGCTCCTTTATCATATATTAATTGACCATATATGGTTGGGTTTGTATCAGAGCTCTCTAGTCTGTTCCATTGGTCTACGGGTCTGTTCTTGTGCCAGTACCAGATTGTCTTGATTACTGTGGCTTTGTAGTAGAGCTTGAAGTTGGGGAGCGTAATGCCCCCAGCTTTATTCTTCCTTTTCAGAATTGCTTTGGCTATTCAGGATCTTTTGTGGTTCCATATGAATTTTAGAATGATTTTCTCTAGTTCATTGAAGAATGTTGTTGGTATTTTGATAGGAATTGCATTGAATCGTGTTTGTTACAAACTGGAAGTTAGACCTAATGGCTCGATAAAGATGACCTTAAACATTTTGGCAAGAAAACCTCACAGATGATGCTACTCTTTTGTATTATGTCCCACCAGGAGGCAAATAAAGTCTGATCATCCTGTAGTCAGCAATGACCAAATTCTGTATCCACGCTGAGCTTTTTATCTCATCTCTTTTTGCTTTTTGAGAAGTATTTTTTCTGGGTTTCATTCTTTCCCCATGTAACCCAATGCTTTATCATAACAGTACCATCTCACTCTTTTGTTTTACTGAAATAGTTATTTTTCTTTTTAGTTTCTGTGTCTGTCAGTGTGGTAAGTGTGTATAGTGAGATTTAAGTCTCTTTCAAAATGATTTCCCTGAAAGTGAGCAATTTAAACCAAAAGATATTGTTGGTTTTCTTTGGTTTCATGTGTGAAGTTTGTATTTTTTCCATTCCCTTCTTTGTATTCTCTTTGTTTTTCTCTGGATGTTACATAAGCTATTCATTAATCTTCATTAATTAGGGAGGAGCTGCATCAATTCTCACAGTGAATTAGCTGGATGGCAGTGACTTAAGATGATACCAGTGCTTCTTACGTTTTCATGGGGCACCTTCTAAGGCTGGATGTTTTCTTCAGATCCAAATGAATATATCTTTGTTAAAAATTTTAAGCCCTTGTTCTTTATTCTGTCTTATGATACACAGACAAAATTAAGAACAATGTCAACAAAGGGAAGATGAATGAAACAGGTAGGCAGAGAGGAAGGAATATGCTGTCCTTCTCTCTTAGACCCTTGTGAATTCCAAGAATTACTAGGCTTTCAGTTTGTTTTCAAATTACGACATTTTTAAACCTGAAGAAAAGTACAAAAACCAACATGCCCACCAAACAGATTTGCCAGGTTGGTTGCAAAACTTTTCAGTATAAAGAAATAGTGACCCCAAGTGGTTAAAGAATAATGAACATACTCACTGAAGATAAATTCAGAAACTAGTATTTGGAGGGAGGGTGAATAAATAAGCCTGGTCCCTTTAGTAATTAAAGAAATATAAATAAAAATTATGAGTTACCAGTAGCCATTCCTGCATTCCTGTCAGATTAGCAAAATTAAAATTTTAAGAATACTAGCCAGAAAAATGGGAAATGGGTGCCCTTTTTAACACTGCTAGACACTAAACCACATACATAGCTTCACAACTCTGTATCTTTATAGTAAATGTGCTTTGATTTAGTAATTCCACTCTCTAGAAAATAACCTGTGGAAAATATCTGGAAGGGGGAAAAGGATAAGGTTACAAAGGTTTTTTAAAAATAATAGGCGATTGGTTAGTAAGTGATTGTTAGATCAGTTTGCTAGGTTATTTTAAACTCTTATAAATAATTCAGGTAACATTTAATACATACTTGCATTGGAAATATTTTTAAACCCAGCATATCATTATATAGAGAAGAGAGTTACCATGTATTGGGCACTGGTTTTGTATTGGACATTGAACTAGACACACTACACATAATATCTGATTTACTCTACCATCCTGTGAAGAAGGATTGCTCTTTATTGTTCAGATTAAAAAAAAAAATCTGTGGCTCAACAATGTTAGGTAATTTGTTATTATTGGAGCTAGAATTTGAATCCAGGAGCAGGTGTCTTACTGCTTCCTACTGTAATTACAACTATGGAAATTCTCCATACACAGCAAGGTATGAGTTGGGAAAGTCCACAGAGAGTACCTGCAATATTTGGTTGTTAAGGTGAAGTGACAGGTAGGTGGTGATCATCATTTTGAGGGCAGTAATATTTAATGACACAAGATATGGGTAAATGTGTGCCAGAGGGAGAAGAATAGGTGAAAGAGGGATATGAAGTGATGGAGGAGAGATAAAGGAAGCTGAAGCCAAGGGTAAGAAATAGTATGCACCCAGGACTCAGAATAAGTGGAGATGAAAAGGAGGTAAAATTATGGGGAATTTTGAGTAGGTTGTAGAAAACTTGTGGATTTAGAGATCAGGGAGAGAGAACAGTCCAAAGTCTTGGGCTCCAGCCAGCGTGGGGGAATTGACCAAGTCCTGGAAAGGATGCATTGGGTAGAGTTCCTTAGGTATAGATATAAAACTCTCCCTTGGGGTTTGGCAGTCTGGCTAATCTGCCTAGATTTTTATTACTATTAGAAGTCTATCTTATCTCAGTCATTTATTTGTATTATTACTAGGCTTTCAGTTTGTTTTCAAGTTACGACATTTTTAAACCTGAAGAAAAGTACAAAAACCAACATGCCCACCAAACAGATTTGCCAGGTTGGTTGCAAAACTTTTCAGTATAAAGAAATAGTGACCCCAAGTGGTTAAAGAATAATGAACATACTCACTGAAGATAAATTCAGAAACTAGTATTTGGAGGGAGGGTGAATAAATAAGCCTGGTCCCTTTAGTAATTAAAGAAATATAAATAAAAATTATGAGTTACCAGTAGCCATTCCTGCATTCCTGTCAGATTAGCAAAATTAAAATTTTAAGAATACTAGCCAGAAAAATGGGAAATGGGTGCCCTTTTTAACACTGCTAGACACTAAACCACATACATAGCTTCACAACTCTGTATCTTTATAGTAAATGTGCTTTGATTTAGTAATTCCACTCTCTAGAAAATAACCTGTGGAAAATATCTGGAAGGGGGAAAAGGATAAGGTTACAAAGGTTTTTTAAAAATAATAGGCGATTGGTTAGTAAGTGATTGTTAGATCAGTTTGCTAGGTTATTTTAAACTCTTATAAATAATTCAGGTAACATTTAATACATACTTGCATTGGAAATATTTTTAAACCCAGCATATCATTATATAGAGAAGAGAGTTACCATGTATTGGGCACTGGTTTTGTATTGGACATTGAACTAGACACACTACACATAATATCTGATTTACTCTACCATCCTGTGAAGAAGGATTGCTCTTTATTGTTCAGATTAAAAAAAAAAATCTGTGGCTCAACAATGTTAGGTAATTTGTTATTATTGGAGCTAGAATTTGAATCCAGGAGCAGGTGTCTTACTGCTTCCTACTGTAATTACAACTATGGAAATTCTCCATACACAGCAAGGTATGAGTTGGGAAAGTCCACAGAGAGTACCTGCAATATTTGGTTGTTAAGGTGAAGTGACAGGTAGGTGGTGATCATCATTTTGAGGGCAGTAATATTTAATGACACAAGATATGGGTAAATGTGTGCCAGAGGGAGAAGAATAGGTGAAAGAGGGATATGAAGTGATGGAGGAGAGATAAAGGAAGCTGAAGCCAAGGGTAAGAAATAGTATGCACCCAGGACTCAGAATAAGTGGAGATGAAAAGGAGGTAAAATTATGGGGAATTTTGAGTAGGTTGTAGAAAACTTGTGGATTTAGAGATCAGGGAGAGAGAACAGTCCAAAGTCTTGGGCTCCAGCCAGCGTGGGGGAATTGACCAAGTCCTGGAAAGGATGCATTGGGTAGAGTTCCTTAGGTATAGATATAAAACTCTCCCTTGGGGTTTGGCAGTCTGGCTAATCTGCCTAGATTTTTATTACTATTAGAAGTCTATCTTATCTCAGTCATTTATTTGTATTATCTTTTATTTGTGCCTTTTACTTTTTCCTCAAGTAGTTTTTGAAATAAAGAAAATTGAAGTTTCTTCTAGTTTCCCTGACCTCAAAGGAAATGGAGTTTTCCCCTATAAATATATAGACTATATTACATATATTCTTTAGGACAGGCAGAGAGAGTAGTAGAAGTAGAACCTGTTAAGCCAGAGTGTTTAAAGTATGAAAACAAGTGACCCAAAGAGCAGAGGACAGAGAAGAGTGTGTTAAATTTCTCTGTGCTTAGTGCATTTCCTTATAGAGGAAATAGATTTGGCTACAAAAAGAACTGTCACGTTACTGAGTTTATCTGTAGATGTTCACACTTGCGCTGTACCTCTGTTTTGCAGATTGAAGAATGTGTGGTGTGCTCTGACAAGAAAGCAGCTGTTCTTTTTCAACCTTGTGGACACATGTGTGCTTGTGAAAGTAAGTAACCTACACAAAACTTCCTCAGTATTGTTATAAAAATAGAAAGGGAAACAAATCATACCTTAGAAAAAATTTTTTTGGTAACTCACAAAGAAGTTGGTGGGTCACTGTTACCCTCCATTCTTCCTCTGTATTGGAATGTTGCCTGTTTCCCTTCTTGCTCCTGGGCATTAAAGAAGGCTGAATATGCAGTGTTCTAGCTGCTCAGTCTTGATTTCATTTATATTAGCACAAAATGATCTCTTCTGACACACAATAGAAATTTTTTTCCAAAAATAAATATTGAAACATTTAGTCTGGCCTTTATCACATATAAAATTAGCACATCTTCATTTGTATTAACCTTAATATTGCCTCTCCACATACTTTCCCAATTATTGAACCACACACAGCAACCATTGGGGCTCTCATGTCTGGCCTTCTTAACCTTAGTCTTTATGTCAAAAAGACTTGTGGAAATCTTTGTGTGGAAATACTAAGATTTAAGAGATGTTTTAATCTATCTATAAGGCATATTCTCTTGAAGGCTTTTGCTTTTTTATAGTCCCCTTGGTCAAGTTCATACACTGTTTAGCATTGTCCTCTTCCCTTTCCTCAACACTTTCCAGCTGCTCAACTCTTCCATTGGCAGTGCAGCAGCCATAGACTGTATGGAAATGGGAGGGACGACTGTTGCCTGAAAACTTGTTTATGCCAGCAGCTGCCTGCTTGGGTTTGACCTCCAGGCTGTGATTTGCTGACCCCTGTCATAGACAAAAGTGATACCTATGGAGACTAGAAAGCTGGTTATAATTAGTAGTTGATAACACAGATTCTACAGCTTTACTGTGGTATTTTCCCCAGGAGCTTCCTAAAGTTTTTACATTGTCTTTACTTTAAAATGTAATAAGAGCAAATGCTAACTTTTATTGAGCTCTTAACTTGTACCAGACATTTTAATCTCTCTGAGTATTTCCTCATTTATCTTCACAACAGTGCTAAGAAGTAGATTGTTTTCTCCATTTTACAGACATGTTGTTAAACATTTATTTGGTAGTGAAAATGGAGTGGAGGTGGAAAATATCACTGCCTTAAGGAGTATACAGTAAGGTAGTTTGGCCCCGAGCCCACATTACAGTAATGTGAAGCAAGAGTTAGGGAGACCTTGACAGTAGGAAGTACCTTGACAGGTGGAGGGAAGGAGAGAGAGATGAGCTCCCTTTTGGAGGGACTGAAGAAACAGTATAGAAATACATAGAAAGAGTAAAACAACGTAATTTAACAATTGTAAAGAAATGATTGTGGTTACATATTATAAATGAAGCAATTAAATTAATCCTTTCATTTTAAAAAATAGGCTGCCCTCAGCTTGAAGACAGATCCCAGACCACATTTCCACTTGCATTAGCTCCCCTAGTGCATCTCCCATAGGCCAGCACCGGCACATCTCTTTGTGGGCCTTGGCGTAAGATCAGCCTTGATGAAGCCCTGTCCAGCAGTGGAAGCCCCATTAAGGAGTGTGTGCCTCGCTGTGCCTGTGTCAGTGGTTTTGGGCTTTGTTAAAGTGTAGTATCTTGTCATCAGTTATCCCTGGGCATCGTGTCACAGTTTTTGTTGTTAATTTTTGAAATGACAAAGACACTTTGTACTTAAGCTAAGATATGGTTTGTACTTTCATAATAAATGCTAGTGGGAAAGAATATATGGAAGTCCTGGTTTTTTTTTTTAATGTTATAATTAATTAACTTCACATGAAGTGTTAACAATCCACAGTCTATCATTGCGCCTAGGTAGTTCTTGGAATGGAAGAGCATTCTTCTGATATATATGGGTATTACATAGTCCTTTATGATACATTTCTGCTGTAGTTTAAAAAGTGTCCACTAAGCAATTTCCTTCTTAGATTGCATCAGTTTGATAGAGAAGGGAGAGAAGTTGTTCAATATACTTTAGGAATTGTAGAGAGAAGCTATTTACAATAGAATATTTTTAGAAAATTAATCATGTGAGCAACCTTATAATTCTAGTATTAGTTAAAACTTATGAAGGGTGTCTCCCTCCTTTATTCTTAAGCCTTAGGATCTTGAAATATTTATTATATTACTTATACAGCAACTCCATTTCACAATTTATTTCAGTGTATTAGAAAATGTCATTTTCATAATGATGGGCTATCTATTCTAGGGCTAACCAGTGGACAGTATATATTCTTAGGTTGATAATATTTTAAGAAGGTAAAATTGTATATTGACTGATTAATGTTTACCTCAGTGTTAAATTTAAGTTCTTTAAAAATGGGTAGAGAAATGCAGCCCTTCCCTCCTAATTCACATTCTCTTTCTGTTGCAATTTGCAGACTGTGCCAGCCTCATGAAAAAGTGTGTGCAGTGCCGGGCAGTAGTTGAACGAAGAGTGCCTTTCATTATGTGTTGTGGAGGGAAAAGTTCAGAAGATGCTACTGATGATATCTGTAAGTGGGTTTTCTTAAGCCTTTGTTTACTTCCCTGTGCTGTGGGACTTGCATGAACATCTCTTCTCAAGTGCAGTGTACACTGCTGTCTTGTAAAATGTGTATGACCTGAGTCTGCAGAGGAACAAGTAAGGCTTTGCTCTTTTTATATTACAAGAAAGCTGAAATTATATTTTTCTAGCTTGTGGTATGATTATAGAACTTTAAACGTTAATCATTAAAGCCCCTGTGTATGTTTTAAAGAATATTATTGTATTCTTGCTTGAAGAAAATATTCTATTTTTAAGATGAAATTTAGTGTATCCTGGGGGAACATCATATTACAAATTACTTTTTTCTCTTTACACAAGTTTTAAATGCCTCATTCCTTTATGTAGTGGATTTACCCGCTGCATTTAAGTATTCTGTATAACAGTAATTGTTTGTGAAACTGCAGATAAACCCAACTGTAACCCAGTGGACAAGTGGAAAGGTGAAGAGTACCTTGTTTGCCTTCGGCCTTTTCAGTATTTGTACAGCTGTCAGTAGTACTTCTATGTAAGGATGTTTTCTGTCTTTGTGCTGGGTATAAGCTGGATGTTAGCTTTGATTTCCTTGTTCTGTGCACAGATGAAGAACTTTAGTGTAGCCACTTCTGCCTATGGCTTTTTGACTTTACCATCAATAAAACAGAATAAAGATCCCAGCACAGTTTAACTAAACTAAAAGACCAAGAATCTAGAGTGTAGGAAAAGTGAAATGAAAAATTTCCCTCCATTTAGCAGGCCTACTGATAACGGCCTTTCTTTTGTGGGCTTCTCATCTCAGATCAGTAACAACAAGCAGAATTTGGCATAAAGGAAGAAGGCTAGGTTTTGGGTGTTCTCATAAATAGCATCTAAGTGACTCTAAGATAATTATTGCTGCCAGAATGAGTGCAGTGCTTTGCTGCCTACCTCGTGGTTTTGCACAGTACAGGAATAGAGAAAACAGGCATTCGATGTATTCGTGAACTTGCCAAAGGAGCACATAGAGCCTTGGAAAACCGAAGTCTGTATGTAAACTGTTGACTAGCTGAGCTAAATATAATTAGAAATTAATGTGCAAAGCTATTTCTTCTTGAGGATTGGTTATACATGAAGGAGTATAACTGAATGTCACTACTGTATCTGTTATCCATATGTGAAAATCAGTTTTAAAGAGGATTTGAATAATAATAGTCTTGTGTTTTTAATGAACAAAACAATAATTTAGAAATAAAAAAATATTGTGTCAAAACATTACAATTTTGTGTTTATATTATAGCAAGTGGCAATATTCCAGTGTTACAAAAGGACAAGGATAATACCAATGTCAACGCTGATGTGCAAAAGTTGCAGCAACAATTACAAGACATTAAAGAGCAGGTAATAATTATTTCTTTATGGCAAACAGTGATTCTAAGACTGGCACTTAATATTTTTCTATAAAACTACTCTTGTTTTCTGTAGTAAACATAGTTTATATTAGGATTTCAATTGTGGTATTTTAATATTTGCCAGAGGAATTATGATTAGATTTAATCAGGCACTTGCCAAAGCAGGAAAAAAACAAAAGAACAGTAAACATGAATAAATGCTCAACTACATCAGTAATCACGAAATGAAAATTAAAACCACTGTTAGGTGCCTTTTCCCCACCTACAAGAGTGAGAGGAAAACTCAGTGTTAAAAATTGTCAGTATTAAGTGTTTGGCAAAATATGTAGCAGCCATAACTCATATACTGATGATGGGAATATCAATTAGTAAAAACACTTAGGAAAGGTTTGCCAGTATCTAATAAAACTAAACGATATTGTTTGGGGATGAAAACTTGGTGGGGAAAAAAAATCATACAGTGTTTAAAACGAAGGTTAGAGGTTGTCTTGACTGGGAGGGGGCATGAGGGAAATTCTATAGTACTGACAGTCCATTTCTTGATATAAGTTCCGACTACCTGCATTTGATCAGTTGGTGAACTTCTATTAAACTGTACACTTACTGTCTGTGCACATTTCTATGCAGATGTGATACTTCAGTAGAAAGAAGAAGTAAATAAGTATCACATATTTTATAAATATACAAGATATATATTTACACATACATACACGCCATAAAGAAAAGCAAGGGAAAGAGAAATGCAAAATTTGGAATAATGGTTACCAGTGAAGGGCAGATGGAAAGGACTGGGGAGGTTGTAAGCTCCCAGAGAAAGAGTAGCATTCCATGCTTGAAACTGGGTGGTCGTTCTATCGTTCTTTATAGTGTATACATACTAACGTGAGTATGCTTCTTATATGTATTCAGTATTTACTAAAAGCCACAATAAAATAAGGCAAGAAGTTAGCTACAACTTGTGTAGGTGTTGTGTTAAGAACGTCTTTTTTGCCGTATATTTGACACAGCAATTAAATCAATGCAAAAGGATTGAGCAGCAACGGGTGTTACTCCTCTGGTCTGGCAGTCGCACCAGCAGAGTTGTCATTCCTGTATTTTCTTTCTGAATTTTAGGAAAGTAACTTAGTCAATATATAGTTGAAAACTAATGATAACTAATTCAGAGTTAAATATATCTACTTACTGGAAATTTAAACATCCAGTTTTTTCTTTCGAAATCTAGCACCTAGTAATACTTGTTATATAGTGAATAAGTAAAGATAAATACAGATTGACAAGTTCTTAATGTACGAACATTAAAATAGAACATCTGTATTAGCTCACTGTAGTAAAAAACATTAAAAAAATTGGAAGTGCTTCAGAATGTCATTTCCTTTCTCATGAAATACAAAAAGGTAAAACTAATTTTTGAATACATGTCTGCAAAAAGCATTTTATCTCCTAATTGTGAATTAACATAGTCCTTTCTACAGCTTTGTTTTCTAAAACTTCTTTGCAAGGGTGTGGTTAACCATGTAGACCACAATTTTTTCCCCCCACTAAATGAAATATTGTGATATATTAAGGTAAAATATGTTTTTATAAATAGAAAATGTAAAGTGTTTTTGTGAATGAGTATGTGATGTCCTAGAGTGTTTTCACAGAAATATACCTAACATGTTTCTAAATTCTTTGGAGTTTACGAGGTTACATTTATCAATACGTATAATATTAATATAGTATTAATATTAATACAAAGCTAATTGTTTTTAACTAAGAGGGTCTACATTGACAGTAACCCAGAACTGTGGGCCATGTGACCCAGTTCATGGTTTCATGACTTACATTCAGGTCTTTGATCCATTTCAAATTTACTTTTGTGTATGGGGTTAGACAATGATCCAGTTTCATTCTCTTACATGTAGCTGTCCAGTTTTGCCAACACCAGCTGTTGAAGAGGCTGTCATTTCCCCATTGTATATCCATGGCTCCTTTATTGTATATTAATTGACAATATATGTTTGGGTTAATATCTGGAGTCTCTATTCTGTTCCACTGGTCTGTGGCTCTCTTCTTGTGCCAGTACCAAATTGTCTTGATTACCATGGCTTTGTAGTAGAGCCTGCAGTTGGGGAGCGAGATCCCTCCCACTTGTCATGAGGAGGTTTTTGATCCCATTAAGTCTCCGTTTCCTCATTGTTGAGGTGGGAGTGGTAGTAGGACTGAGATTGTGTCGTATGTAGCAGAATGCCTGGCATATGTTCTTAAGTGGCATCTCTACCCTGCTCTCCCCACAGGCCTGCTACTTGTGTTATTTTCATATTTTATACAATGCCTTTTATACTGTCCTGATGGTACAACCAATATTTCTGTTTTATAGGGATGACATTTTAACTATTTAAAAATTTAAAAAAAATGTTTAAAGCAACAAAAGATTATTTGACTAAAACAACAAAAGAAAATTAATGATGCCGTAGTTGTCACTTGGTACACTTTCAAAGTATAAAATGTGTCAGCATTTATTACTTTATTTGTTATCTCACATTGCAGACAATGTGCCCTGTGTGTTTGGATCGTCTGAAGAATATGATTTTCCTCTGTGGCCATGGGACGTGCCAGCTCTGTGGAGACCGAATGAGTGAATGTCCTATTTGTCGCAAGGCTATTGAACGAAGGATTCTTTTGTATTAACTAAGAACCTCAGTGTGTTTTATTAGCTGAAGTATTTGGTCATGAGATCTTAGTAAAGCTTATTAGAGATTCTAATGAATTAATTTTTAATACCATACTGTCTTTACTAGAATGTAATTGTAAATGTACTTGAACAAAAAGCTGTATAAGACAGTGTTTAAAGCTTTTTCCCCCTATCTTTTAGTTTGAAATGTCAACTCCATGTACTTCACAGGTATTTACTTTTGGTTCCTAAGGGAAAAATCCTTTAAGGATCTCTTATTATTTTTGTTTTTATTGCATTTTTGTCTTACAATTTATAAGTTCGTTAGATGTCAACTGATAAACTTTCTTGTGATCAGCTATCCTTCAGTTCATCGTGATTTTATGCAGTGAGTTGACAGAGGTACTCAGAAGAGTCATGCATCAAATGAAAGGGGCAAGTCGAATCATTATGTCACATACATTAAATGATAAAGTTACCGAATGAGTTCTACATAGTTAAGAGAATATTGAAGAGAAGATTCTATTTTTAAGATTAAACAAAGTTACCCAAATTATTGTTTCTGAATTCTTAGGGTAAATGGAAGCAAAGAATGAGATAATGACTTTGCATTAGCTTAACTACTATATTTAAACGAAACACTGTTTAATTTGAGTCAAGTTGCTAGTTTCAAAGTGAATGATAGCCATGAAAAGGAAAACTGAGCAGTCATACTGTTGCTTTTCTTATGTTAATTTACCAGCTGTTTTGTTCAGCCAGCCTTTAAAAAAAGTCTTTGAAAAGTGTACCTCAGTTTTCCTGTGGTTACTTACCCAGACTTGGTCTGGCTGGTGAAGTGGTTTTGCCCTGTTGGGCTTCTGGGGTTCCATTTAGCTTTTCTCATGTGCTGAATAGTACCCCGCTATCTGAGAGGAAGAATGTATTGTCCAAAGGCGGCAATCTTTTTTCTCCATTCCTAGCTATTTTGACAGTGTTTTTGATTCTACTTTCATCACAAGCCTTATTCCATTCTCTCTCAGAGAATAAGGCTCACTAAAGAAAATGTCCTCTCTTTATACCCAGATGAGGATATTGCCAACAATATCCAAGACATAATAGATAACCTAATAATAAATACTTACTTTTAGAAAGAGTGACTAGGACATTTATAGAAATATGTCTGATTACTGATAGATTTTTTTTTTGACTCAAACTTTGACTCTGGAATATCAAATCATTTTCTCTCCTTTGAATGACTAATCTTTGCTATGTCTAGGATGAATATACATGTAAATAAGTGTTTTGAGGTTCATTGCTGCTAGAATGTAAGATTATCAGCTGTTTACAATAGTGTCTACTATATACTGTGTATAAGCTTACTCCTGAGCATACCTACCTTTTTTGTAGTCCCCCACCTCCCCTAGACTCTGGTTCTTACTTCAATTTTTCTGCTACAACTAAATATGAAAGTACTTTTGGCTGTTTAATGGCTGCTGCCTTTGTAAGTCTTGGTGAAAACAGTGGGGAGCTTTGCTGGCTGATTTTGTAGTCTTGGTAATTCTGTATCTGTGTTTAGCTGAATTAACTTACCACTTAGAACAGTAAAATTTTTATAAATTTGAAAATTGAAAATTTATATTGATTCTACTCAGTTATCTAATAAAGGGCCACTGAGGCTATTTTTTTAAAGCCATATTTTGAAGTTAAGAAGATAAGACATCTGGCATGATGTTCACGTAAAGAAACAAACTATTTTCTTTCAGACTTGAAAATAGTGGTAAGTCAGGATTTTTCCTTTTTTTCCATGCTATAGACTCCCCATGTCTTTCCCACTAGATCAGCTGGTCAGGAGGGATCACCTGGCTGACTCATGCATAGGTTGGCCAACTAGAGAATTGTAGGGTCTAGACCTCTGCTTTACTTACATGCTTTTTCATTTGTCTTCGGAGCTGCAGTGCTAAAACTTACATCCCTAAAAGGCAATTTCGTTTTCTAGAATAGTGTGTCTTCTCCATAGTAAAAATACAGTAACTTACTATAAAAGGCATAAAGTCACTTCACTATAATTATAGTGCTATATTCTTGTGGGTTTTCTGTATTTGTACCACTTTGGAATTTGTTTGATCGATGGAAAATGTTTCTCTATTCATGTGTTCAAGTACCTGAGAAATTATTTTAAATTAATTTTGGGTTTGTAAGAGAGAATGAGATTAAGAACTTAATTTTTAAGTGACTTTTCTCTGTGAAACTACCTCTTACATGTTTCTTAGCAGTACTTATCCAATTAGGTATGTTTCCTTCTCATTAACTCTCAATCTTGTGCCTCAGAAGAGCTTTTATTTTTCCTAGAATCATTTTAAAAAACAAAACTGACTTGCATTCATTAAAAAATGTCTTTATTGGGCTTCAGGGGCTAGATACACAACATTGAAAAAAATGGTCAGCATCTTAGCACACACAATTTATCATGCAGCAGTTGTATATTTGAAGTTATCTGTAGTCTAAAGGAAGGGATCCAGAGGTACAGAAAACATTTCCTCCTGCTTTTGCGAAAGACTGTCATGAGCAATATTTGGATTCCCTCTCTGTGCTCCCTCCCTCCTACTACATTTTCTCCTGTATTCTTCTAACTAACATTGTTACCCAACACACATACACAAAACTTACTGAATGGTGCTATTCTAATTGTTTTTGTTGACATAATTTAATACTCTCACTGCTTATACTGTATACATATTTAATTTTGTTGGGAGCAAGAGCACTTTTCAAAAGATTTTGTATTAGTATAGAATATTAGACAAATGTTTTGTTCAGCTGGCTGAATTATTCTTGCTTAGGATATTTGTATTGTTACATTGCAAACTGACCAGTCAGCTACTGAGTTGATAATGTTGAACATAACTTTCTTAAATTTATATCTTTGATGGCTTTAGCCTGTAAGATCATTTTAACATATTGGAATGCATGTTGCTTAAGATTTGTTCAATTCAAATTTTAAAGCTTGCTGGGTTATTTTTAAATAGTAGAAATTATACTGTCTAGCTGTGTGTTGCCCAACTATTCTTTGTTTATTATGAATTTTAGACCCCTTTGAACTAGGAAATAGTTAGACTTCTGAATTGAATTAGTGATGGGGTAGCACAGGGAGGACAGTAGGGAGATACAGCAAGTAAAAAGAAAAGTCAGTGTTTGAGTGTAGAGAAAGGGATCATACAGATTTCATCAAAACAGTAAGTGGCAAGTATATTTAATTGAATAATAAAAAAGGTGTTCCAATCAATTTTTAGTGTAGTTTAATTGACCATTTTAGACTTTAATACAACTTGCTTAAAAAAAATCCCAAAGGAAAAGCACTTATCCTCTCAGGATGTTCAAAATATTTTATAGTAATAATTTGTGTAAAAATTGAGTTTTTTTAACAGAATGTTTTTGCATTTTTTTATTTTGGTAAAAACACACAATATGAAAGTTACTATCTTCACCATTTTAGAGTATACACAGTAGTGTTCAGTATATTCACATTGTTGTAAAACAGATCTCCAGCAATTTCTCATCTTGCAAAACTGAAACTCTGTATCCGTAAAACAACATTTCCCCCAGTGGAATAGAAATGTGATTAAATGTAAGTCAAGGAACACCTGAATTATATTAATAGTTTATTTGTTTGCAAGATCTGAAACCATGATGAACGTCAAGTTCCTGAAATTGGGGTGCCAGAATCTCTTCCCTCCCTCCAGGTCCTTATCAGTCGTAATTGAGTAGGGTTTAAATGTCTGTTAATTGAGAGGGTTTGTTATTTCATTTTGAGCCAGAGGGGAGAAACACATTTTAAACCTTCATTAGAATTTAGGTTAGCTTTGAAGTTGTACTAAATTGGGAAGGTAATAAATTTTCACAAATTATGTCTACCTAGTTGTTGAAAATGTCAATTGTCTAAGTCTACTTGTAAGAGCCTCAAAATATTTTTTTCTCTCAAAGGCCTAATTTTATTTGCTTAAATATTATGATAGGAATGCTTACTGACATTACTTGATAATCATATAATAGCCTTGGAATTTTAACATATAGACGTATATAATTATAGCAGTATTAATAATTATAGTTGTACTTCTTTAAAACATTAAATTTGAGGAAAAACTATTTAATGCTGTGTCTCACGTGTACCTTGCTTTGCTTCAGTGAGGGGGAAATCCTTTAGATTGAGCCTTAATTTGCTTATAAATGGTTAGTAGTGGGTGAAACTAGAGAATAAAAAAATATGAACTAGGTAGTAGATCTGAAGAATTAAAATTGTAAGTTCTTGCATTGGTATTTTCTACCTCCTTTTCTGTCAGAGTATTACTTTTCCAGCATTTATTGTTATTTGTAACGAAGGAGACAGGACTCTGGGATGCAAACTGAGAATTCTATTTTCATAAGGATTTAAGCAGTAGGTACAGGAAGAGTAACTTGCCACATCAATTTGGTGCCTAAATTCATTACTACAAGTTATTAGTGACATGTGCAAAATATATAAGATAGATAATATTGCTGAATATTTTACTTTTCCTGTACAGTCTACATGACTTTGTTTCATAAACATGACTTACTTCCTCCAAACAGCAAAATGGTCTAGTAATTTTCTATAAAATAAACAAAATAGGCCATTTTGTCTGAAATCTGTAATTCAGGAAGCTATTGAAAGTTCTGACTCAGGGCTTTTTAACAGTTGTTAATTATATTTTGGGAAATCCATCTACATAATTCTTCAGTGCCTTGAAGGAATTATTAACTTGGCAGCACTCATAAACCTTTATAGAAGGTGGTCTTTAGTAAACGTGTATAATCAGATACACGTTTATAAGTCCTGTTTCTTAGCTTGTTAGGAGGATACTGCATGTGTGCTAGGTATTGGGTAATTCTTTAAAGGACGTTTTCTAGATTTGCACCTGATACTTGTTTTTCAACTGATTATTTATGGCCATGGCACTGTTACCAGAAAAGTAATTCTATGTTAAGTCATTATGTAAAGTCGTGTACAGTAGCATCTGGGAAGAGGATATGGGGTCGTACAATTTAGCTATTTTAATATAAAAGGAGGATCTATTTGGTAAAAACATTATCTTCAAGTGAAAAAAAACTTCTGAGTAAGTGAAAGAAAATTTTTTTTAAAGGTAATCACTGTTTGCATAGCATTCATAAAGCTAGTCTTACTATTTGATTCATAAAAGTTGTTTTTCTGTTTAGTGTGCTTGTGTCATCTAAATACAGTATGTTCAGTGATAGAAAACAATTTGACTCATAGTATTTTGTTTTGTATTTTTTCCATTGTTTTTTAGCTTTCACTTGATTAAAGTCTTGTTTGTGAGTATAGTTTGTTTCTGTATGGCAAATGATTTTTGCTTATCAGCTCTTGTTAAAAAAAAAGGCCTAGCAAGAGCTAAGCTTTTAAAAATAAATGCAAACATTCAAAATCAATAAAACCTATGATGTAATATCATTATATAATGCTTTTCTTTGATCTTTTGAAACTATTCTTTATAAAAGTATACATGAGTTTTTACTTTTAAGGTATTTGAAAACAAATCCCAATATATTAAGTCTATTATTATTGGAAAGGAAATGATCATGTCTTTGAGAAACAAAGACATTATTAACATCTCAACTCAGTGTAATACAGGTGCCCACATCTAGAAGGCTGTCATTGCAATTGCTTACATTTAAGGTTTTATTGCTTACATCTTTCTAAAGGGCCAAAGAAGTTTTTCATATTTTAACACCTCTCACTCTTTGACGATTAAGATGTATTGTGAAAATAGTCTGAATAGTTTAAGTTTGACAGAAAAAAAGTCAACTGGTCAGGAAGACACACCTTTTTCTATAAAACATTTCTTCTTCACAATTCAAATGTAGATTGCATTTTCAAGAGACATTTTAAAGAAATGACTTACTTGGTATTTTTTAGGGCTTTGTGACTAAATCAGTAATTGAATGGTTTAGGAGTTGTTTTAGTTTTCAAGTTAATAGAAGCACTTATTTGTTATTGAAAGGTTGTCTAGTTCAAAAAAGTATGTGTATCTTGGATGTTTAAGAGAAAAACCATCCGAAACAAAATCTTTTAATTGTTTATTTGAAAAAATCATATGTATTCCAACTTTAAAATTGTGAATTTATTTTTTGATAACCTCTGTTTCTGGGTTTATTTCTTTTGCTGTATAATTAGATATTTCATGGCATTATTTTTTTACTAGATTTAAACTCTGTATAGGTTTTTAAAATAAAGACATTTAGAAAACCTGATTTATATTTTTTATCATTGACAGTTATTCATCCTTCACAGAAGTTAACATTATTTGTTAGTGTTATAGTATAGCACTTTCCGAATTTACAGTTTTTAATGGTATGTTGCTGAGCAGTGATAGGAATTTATAGGATGAGTACATGCATTAAAGTAGAACAAAAAGCTATTTAAGATAAATTAATTGCTCAATAACGATTATTTGGCTAATAGTTTCCCACCTTTTATAACAAAACTAGTTGATTTTATTTTGTTAAGGACAAAAATAACTGTAAACTTATTATGAAAGGATAAGACCCAGAATAGGACCATTGATCACTGAGTCAATGACATGTCAATGTGGCTGTCGAACAGTGCGCCTTTTGCACTAATGCTCCAATCAGAAGTAATGCTCTCACCTTTCATACTTGGTCCTTGAATTCTCAGATATGGCAGCTTTCTGACAGGCAGATTTTCAAGTCACATAGATATTCATTTCTCATGTATTAGAGACTATTACCCTCCTTCCCTCTCTCCTTTATTTCCACAGAACACCAATTAGTATCTTGAGTTGAACATCAGCATGGAGATTGGAAAGCATTTATTGGTGACATAAACCCTGATTTAGTAGGGAAATAGAGAACCACCCAAATTGGAGAGCTTTTTCCTGCTGACCATGGCCAAATCGTTTGAAGAAAGATGGAAATTCAGAGAGAGTATATGCTCCTGATACGTATGTCATAGTACAATATAGTGTGTATTGTATTAGTTTCCTATTGCTTTGGCAAATAACATGAATATAATGGCTTAAAACAACAAATTTATGGTCTTACAATTCTGGATGTCAGAAGTCTGGTGTGAGTCTCACTGGGCAAACGTCAAGGTGGTGTCTGGGCTGTGTTCCCCTTGATTCTAAGGAGAATCCATTTCCTTGCTCTTTCTTGTTTCTAGAGACAGCCTGCATTGCTTGGCCTGTGTGTCTGTCAGTGTGCCTGTCAGTCTTCAAAGCCTCAGTGGCCAGGTGAGTCTCACAATGCGTCACTCTGACATTGCCTCTTTTGCCTTTTCCACTTTTCTGCTTTTAAGGACACTTGCTATTCACCTTGATAATTCAGGATGATTTCCTTATTTTAATTTGAGTTGATAAGCAATCTTAATTCCACATGCAACCTTAATTCCATTTTGCCATGTAACAACATATTCATAGGTTCCAGGGATTAGGACGTGGTTACCTTGGTTGGGGGAAAGAGATATTCTGTCCTTCACAGGGCATCCGACAATATCAGCAATATCCAGGAACTGTGGGACAGTTATAATTATAAAAAGTATTAACACATGTGAAATGGGAATTACAGAAGAAGAGAGAAAGAAGAAGTATTTGAAGTAAGAATGACCAAGAATTTCCCCAAATCAGTGAGGAGCACCCAACTACAAATGCAAGACACTCAGAGGTCACCAGGATAAATACCAAGAATTGACACATGCAAACTGCAGGAAATCAAAGGTGAAAGTCTTGAAAGAAGCCTGGGGAAGGAGGGGGGAAGAAGTCTTACCTATGTATAGAGAAGCAAGTTTATTAGATTTATCTTCAGATACCACTCGAGAGTAAGATGAGATTTTAAGAGTGATGAAATAAAAACAAAACTAGAATTGTATCCAGTGAAATTATCCTTCAAAAGTGAAGGAGACTATATAGATTTTCTCAGAGAACAAAAATTGAGGGAATTTGTGGCCAGTAGACTGGCCTTACAAGAAATGTTGAAAGATCTTCAGAAAGAAGGAAAACAGGTCAGAAACTCAGCTGTACATAAAGAGAGCATTAGAGAAGGAATACATGGACGAAACATAAAACAGCAGAAATTTACCCAGTTTTCTCCCAGACTGCAATGAGATGAAATCAATAACAGGAAGCTAGCAAGAAAACCCCAAAGTTATTGGAGATTAAACACACTTCAAATAACATGGGTCAAAGTCACAAGAAAAATTACAATATTTTGAACTAAATGAAAATACAATTTATAAAAATTTGTGGGGTGTAGCGAAAACTTGTCCTTAGAGGGAAACAGCATTAAATGTATACATTACAAAAGATCCAAAACAAGATTTTTTACCTTAGGAAACTAGAAAAAATGGCAAATTAAATCCAAAGTAATCAGAAGAAATGAAATAAAAGCAAAAATCAATGAAATTGAGAATAGGAAGTCTAGAGAAAAGGAAACCAAAAGGTGATTATTTGAAAAGATCAATAAAGTTGATAAGCCTCTAGTTTGATACGTTGGACTTAATTACAATTAAAAACTTTGGCTATGCAAAAGACATTGTTAAGCAAAAAGATAAGACACAGGCTGGGAGAAAATATCTGCGAAATATGCATCTTATAAAATGTACAAAGAGCCCTTAAAACTCAGCAGAAAGAAAACAACCCAATTTAAAAATGGCCAAATGATCTGAGCTCTGAAACCTCACTGAAGAAGACACACATAGGGCAAACAAGCATATACGTTTCCAGTCATCTTGGTCTATAACTAGGCGTGGAATAGCTGGGTCATAGAGTAACACTATGTTTTTACTTTTTGAGAAACTGCCAGACATAAAAGACCATACAGTGTATGGTTCCATGTATATGAAATGTCCAGAACAGGCAGATACAGAGACAGTAGATTTCAGTGATTGTCAGTTACTTAGGGGAGGGACAAATGAGGACTGACTGCTAGGTACTGGGTTCCTTTTTGCGGTGGTGAGATGTTCTGGAGTTAGATAGTGATGATGATTATATAACTGTGAGTATACTAAAACCCACTGAGTTGTACATTTAAAGTGGTTAAGTTTACAATATGTGAATTTTAATTAAAAAAGGGAAACAGAGTATTAGTGACCCCTATATGTATTATGCCAGGTCCCTGCCCAGGGGTTCTGTATAGCAAACAGTAAGTTTGGCTTGAGACTCAAAGCATCATCTGAACCTGTCCCACCTGTTTACCAGGATTTATGCAGTTTCTTCCCTTCCCAGATGGTCCCTGTCCCACAAAGTTGTTCACGGTGAAGCAGGGTTTTGCTTCAACTTGATATATGTACTCTAAAACCTGCGAAAGAAAGGCAGGGACTAACTGGCTTAACTGAGGGATGAGTTGGTCCTTATCACCTTCCAAAGAAGACCAGTAAGTTTTTAAAAAATGAAATTAGAAATTCATGGATTTAAACATTTTATATGTTTCAGTACACTGCAATAACTGTCCTCATTTATGTGCAAGTTGTCCCACTTTTTGTGAGTGAAAGTTACTCAGATTTGCTCCTGAGTTCTATTGACACAAACCTGTTCATCTTTTAGAGTGTCCTCACTTTCTTAAATGAGAAGATAAGCAGCTTCATCAGGTACATTTTCTGCACAGACCTGGAATGGAATATTTCTCCAAGGAATCCTGATTCTGTTCAGTAACAAATGACACAGGTCACAAATGAGGTGTTTGGGGTGTCAGTGCTTTTGGGTTGGTCATTGTTTCTTGGGTATTTCAATGAAAAGAGCTATGAGCACTTTTAAGGAAAAATACGATGAATTCAAACAAACTTCAAATTTAGGACTATTGGCTACTAGCCTCATTGATCTTATATCTCTGTCTCTTCTCAACCATTAAAAAAATGTATTCTCTTTGTTGCACAATATCAATATTAATGTTATCAGCAACAATAGGATTTCTGAAAACAGTCAAGAATTTCTTTGCAGTTATATTTATTATTTAGATGCATCCCACTGGGGTACTTTAGTCAAATTACTGTGTTTTAGTGCCTTGAAAAAGCCTTTTCAGTATAGGTAGTCTGCCAACTGGCCACACAGGTTAACTTGTACTTTTGGATATTAGAAATTGTTTTATTCATCCATTTACTGAATTTAATTTTAAATTATGTAAACCATGTACATTGTTCAAAACCCAGTTCTACAAAACAAGATACAGAGAGCAGGCAAATCCAGAGACAGATGTCTAGCTTCCATTTCTGTGCCTTCCACCCTTCATTCTTCTATCCATAATTTTATGGTTTATTTATCCTCTGTTGTTTTTATTTTAATATTGGGAAACACACATATTGGTACCCCTTTCTTTTTTAAAACAATATGCATACTATGCAGAAGGTCTTCACCTAACCTCTCACATTTTAATAATAATGACTTCATACCTTACTGTACAGAACATCACTCCCCCCACACCCCCACTCATTGTTCTGTAGGGTGTGACAAAGAATGGAACAATAAGAGGTTATGGTTCCAGAGTGTAGGGCCTAGGTGCGGGCTGGCTGCTGGGAGAGCTGTGGGGATCATTTCAGTGGCCTGGCTGAGTCATTCCACGCCAGGCAGGTTGGTTCCTTCAAACCCAGCCCTGCAGATTGAATCATTGTCTGTGGACCTTTATCCCTGTCTCCCCTCTTTGGGAAGAAAGGGAAAGCAGAGTGAGGAGGGCTGGCCCCACCTCCACAACCCTCTATGAGGAAAGCAAGTCAGCTTCAGGCTGGTGCAGCGCCCTGCCCTCCATGTTCCTACCTCCATCTTTGGGAGCCCATCCTCCCAGGAAGGCTGCAGGCTTCATGTTCTAAAACATGAGGCACCTCAAACTCCAGGTTGGGAAAATAGGAGCTGTCTCTTTGCAGGCACAGCAAGAGAGCATGTACTTGTGAGTGGGCTCTTAGGGTTTTCCTACGGGAAGATGAAGACACACACCAGAGCCCAGAAAGGTCCTGTGGGTCCACTTTGGGGGCAGGGGGGATGTTCTCTGTGCCCCCCAGCTCCTGTCCTCTGGAATTCTGCTTGCACGGGAAAACCATGCTTCCTGGACAGAGCTGTTTCTGTGTGTATTGTCGGAGACTCTGTCAAACCTGGTTTCAAGTGAGGAAACTGTTCATTGAAGAGAAACTTCTGTTTCTTGCTCTTTTAAAAAGATGTTCTGTACAGAAGTGTGAAATAACTGTCTAATGAGCATCAGGACAGTGAGTAAATATGGCATCATTATGTTTAATGATAACACAAACACCTATG